GCTTCTGCTTCCCTGCAGGCAGTTTAATTAACAGGCACGATCATCTGATATACCGTTTAGAGAAACTGCAGTCACAGATTGGAAGTATGCCTTAGAAAATAGTAAAGAACTAAACAAGCTTGGCTCCATAAAATACCATATATTGTGTGAGAGCCACTGGAAAGAAAAAAATGGTGCACATTAAATCTGGCTTTGAAATCACAACCCTTGTGTACAAAGAGCAGTTGGCTCGCAACACATATTGTGTGAGCTTAATCATTGACATTCTGACTTTTCTAGCAATATTCTGCCTTTCAGAGGTGACACTGAAGCAAAGGAGTCATTGGGATCGACCGCCTTTAGTTTATTTTGATGGTTATTTAAATTACACCACAAAAAGACCTAGAGTTGGCTAAAATTATCCCTGCTATCACCAGAAAAGCAACATAAATGTCACGTTATTCAAAATGAACTCAGAACTCATGAGTTAACAGGTGACCTAGCATAATGTTGAGGAAATTGACAACTCTTTTTATACAGTTGAAACGGATGGAACGAGAGATCCAAAAGGATTGGAAAATCTCTCTTTACTTTCTTGATGACATGCTATAAAGAAGATACCGCTGACCATTGCTACAGCAATGTGACATTTTATCACTGAACGTGTACATTTCTATTATATATTAACAGAAATTGCAATAATATTGCCCTTTCAACATTTGGTAGGCTCTGTGGTTACAAGTAGCCTGACCAAATTAAGGTGGAGCAGAGGGCATATGCCATTCCATTTTCAACTTCAGTGGCACAACCAGTGGAGCAGGTGACGATGTTCTGAAAAGCAATCACGGTGAAGCGGCAAAGACACGCGATTTGAGGGAATGTGGAAAATAAGGTGGGGAGGGAATCTTTGGCGTGTTCAAGGTTTCAAGTTGCCTAGATCTCCCTCCCCTGCTTAGTTTGAGAAATAATGTGTTTACAATTATGCAAGTTTCTCCACATTGTCATACCTGCTCTCTGTGACTGTGGTATGAATTTCATAAGTCTTGGACAATAAATGTGCAATTTGAGAGAATGTGGAAAATAAGGACGGGAGGGAATCTTCGGCAGGTTTCAGGCTGTAACTTTAACAAAGAAAGTGTCAAAAATCAACTCGAATGGTGTTGCTAGCAAAATCGGGAATTGGCATGGACAGACAATTTATATACTTCACATATATATCACATATATATCACATGAAATGTGTCTCCATACAAGTAAAATCCTTTTAATTCAAATTTATCTGTCCACCAAAAGTTTCAATTTTAAGGCATCCATGTATAAGAAATATAAAAAACTTTAAGAATGTTAATATTTCAATCCGTTTTCTCATCAATGTTTCGTGTCATTTGCAATTTTTTGTGAAGTTTTGTTTCAAATCTTAATAGATTAATTACCAAAAGATTTTAAAAAGTAAAATCAAAGAAGTGGCCTACCATGACTATGAAGCTGATGCCAGTGGGAAATTTTTCCTCTGCAGTTGTCCCTGACTATGTAGGGGCAATGATAGCCATGCCAGTCCAGGGATTAACTGCAGTTCTACTGTCAGGTGCCTTGGTCAAGGTCAATGACTGGCGTACCTGACATGCAACAACCATACCATCCATATTGCTCTAGGTTAATAGAATATATTAATTAGGCTTTGCATACTTCCAAAAAAAATAAATAAATCCAGCATCCCCCTGCTTTGTTTTGTACAATCAGAACCATCCTGTTCTGAAGTGCTTCACTGACCTTGCTCTCAGACTCCTTCCCGTTCACTGGGGCTGTTTCATCTGGTTTCACTCTGGGCGGCTCTAGCCGCATCTCGTTGGTAGTCCATCAGCTAGAGCCTGCCTTGCTCTGAGAGGATAGACTGAACTTTTAAAACCAGATAAGTGACTCACATGGATAACCATCTTCCATCAGATTATTGTGGTCACTTACCTGTGTTTGTCTCTAAACCAGAGTTGCCATTGATGGGTGGTTCCCCTGCTTCCCCCTCCGCAGCCACTGCTCTGCTCTGTTAATAAATAATAATAATAATAATAATAATACATTTTATTTGAAAGTGCCTTATCAAAACACCCAAGGACACTGTACAGGCAGATAAAACATTAAAAACAGGAAGCTAAAAAGTACAAGCATAAAGATGCCACAGAAAACAAAACAGCAGGAAGTAAAATAAAGCCAAAGGAAGAAAAGGAAGAAATCAATATTGGAGTGATCCATATGAACTAGATGGGATAAGACTGTCTGAACAGGAAAGTTTTGAGTCTGGATTTGAAAAGAGGGAAGGAGTCCAGAGTACGGAGATCCGGAGGGAGGGAGTTCCAGAGGTGGGGAGCATAGCGACTAAATGCCCGGTTCCCCATTGTGACAAGACGGGCCAAGGGAACGGAGAGCTGGAAGGTGTGGGAGGATCGTAGGGAGCGGGTGGGGGTTTTAACGTGAAGGAGATCTGAGATGTAAGATGGAGCCAAGCTGTGGAGGGCCTTGAATGTAGTTAGGAGGAGTTTGAAGATGATTCTTTGTTTGATGGGGAGCCAGTGGAGTTGTTGCAGGATGGGAGTGATATGATGAGAAATGGGGGTCCGAGTGATCAGGCGTGCTGCAGAGTTTTGGAGGAGCTGTAGTTTCTGGAGGGACTTGTTTGGAAGGCCAAAAAGAAGGGAATGACAGTAATCGATGCGTGAAGTGATGAGACTGTGAACTAGAATGGCGGTAGTTTGGGGAGTGAGGGAGGGACGGAGACGAGAGATGTTACGCAGATGGAAGTAGGCAGACTGGGTGATGTTGTTAATGTGGGACTGGAAGGAGAGGGAGCTGTCGAGGACGACACCCAGACTCTTAACCTGAGGGGAGGGGAGGACAGTTGAATCATTGATGGTAATCGAGACGTTATTAGCTTTGGAGAGAGTGTGAGGTGTGCCTACTAGGAGGACTTCGGTTTTAGAGCTATTCAGTTTTAGGAAGTTGGATGAGAACTAAAAATGGATTTCTTGGAGACAGAGGGTGAGGGAGATTGGTGGGAGTGAGGCAGATGGTTGAGTAGAAAGGTAGAGCTGGGTGTCGTCCACGTAGCAGTGGAATTTGATATGATGCTTACGGAGGATGTAGCCAAGAGGGAGGATGTAGATAATAAACAGGAGGGGCCCCAGGACAGAACCTTGGAGCATACCAGCAGAAACGGGGAAGTAGATGGATTTATGAGATTTGAGTTGTATGAACTGTGTCCTATCTGAGAGGTATGAAGTGAACCAGGTTAGAGGGGTGCGGCTGATACCGATGGATGATAGTCGACTGAGGAGAGTGGCATGGAAGATGGTGTCGAAGGCTGCTGTAAGGTCCAGGAGAATGAGGATGAAAAGTAGTCCAGAGTCAGAAGCCATAAGGAGGTCGTCAGAGATCTTGATGAGTGCGATTTCAGTACTGTACAGAGGACGGAAGCTAGATTGAAACTGTTCGTTAATATTATTGGACATCAGGTGGTTGTGGAGTTGGGAGGCAACAGATTTTTCAAGAATTTTGGATATGAAGGGTAGATTGGATATGGGACGTAAGTTATTGAAGTCGGTTGGGTACAGGCCAGGTTTTTTCAGAATTGGGGTGACTGTAGCGGTTTTGAGTGCAGAGGGGACTGAACCAGAGCTTAAGGAAGAGTGGATGATTTTGGTGATGAAAGGAGCAAGTGAAGAACAGCAGGATTTAACCAGAGTGGACAGGAGAGGATCGAGCTGACATGTGGAAGTTTTGGTTTTATGAATGAAGTCGGAAATGGCTTGAACAGATGGAAGGTCAAAACTGGAGAGGGTGGTTGCAAAAGATGGGTAGGGGGTAGCAGGGTCGCCTCCAGAAGCTGCAGCTCCAGATGAGGTCAGGTGTTTATGGATATCTGTGATTTTGGAGACGAAAAAGGACATAAGTTTATTGCAGAAGTCATCGGATTGCATATGATGGGGAAGGGAGTCGGGAGGTTTGGTGATGGAAGTGAGAAGGGAAAAGAGAGTTTTGGAGTTGTGGCGGTTGGAGTGGATTAAGTTAGAGTAATATGCAGATTTGGCAGAGGAGAGGGAAGTCTTGTACAGTGCAATGTGATCCTTGTACATATTTTTGTGAATGGTGAGTCCAGTTTTATTGGCAAGGCGTTCCAGCTGACGCCGGCGAGATTTGAGGTGCATTTTTTTTTTCCACTGTCTGTCTCGCCTTTAATATTGGGTCCTAAGTTCTTAGTTTATGACATAAGCTTTATGATCTCCCTAGTACAACCATTTTTGTAGTCAGAGGTAAGTTATTCATGGGTTCCATTTTTGCATGAGCATAGCAATCTTATAGATTACCTCACAACAGTGACATAAAAGGAATGAAAAAGATCCAAACAACTTAAAGGGTGGTGTAGATATTAAGGCATTACAGTAAAGACAACACAGATGACAGAAAGCAAATGTAGGTTAAGGAAGTTTACGCATATTTACAATGCAATTATGTTTAGTTTTTCATAAACACAAATACACACAAAGTTTATCATAAACACAAATACTTGCCCATGGAGCATTAACCTAAAAAGATGAAGGTATGACTAATAAATGTGTAAAAATGTTTTGCTTTGTTGTTTCAGTGCCTGAAATGAGGCTTATTCTGCTCGGCGAAAGCTGGTATGACAAGTGTTCCGTCGCAAATTTATTACTGGGTACAAATCTGTTCAACACAGAGAAAGAACCAGACACCTCCATCAAAGTCTCTGGGAAGATTAGGACAACAAAAACCTCTCTGATAAACACCCCAGACCTGCTTTGCCCAAGCATATCTGAATCCAAACTTAAGGAACATGTACAAGTTTGTGTGAGTCTCTTTCCTCAAGGACCTCATGTTTTTCTTTTAGTTGTTCAAGAGAATGTCACTGATCAACAAAAAAAAGCTTTCAAAGGATTCTTGACCTCTTCAGTAATTAAGCTTTGAAGCATTCACTGGTGTTGATCTCAACACCTGGATGGGAAAGGTTGGGTTCAAATAACCCAATAGACAAACAGCCTCCTCACAACCCAATAACAATGTGTGGAGATAACTGTATCAGACTGCAAAAAGACCCTGAAGAGCTGATGTGTCAATTATTAAAAATTAAGTTTGGGAACGATTTTCTCTCAGGCCCTCCCAGCTCTGAACCCCATAAAGTGTCTTCACCTTTGGATTGTTCAAGACTTGGTATGTAAATACAATTATTTTGTTTATAAGTTGTACAGTAAAATACATAACATGTACTGAAAACAATTTGTGACTTTTATCTAAAGTCACTGATTCCCTACTTACTACAAATATTTATTTTATTGGTTTGGAATTTTCATGATAATTGTTAGTCGCATGAAAAACTTGACAAACACCAGGCAAGCAAAAAAGGTTTGACAAAGGAAACATCTGGGTGCTTAGACCTGACCATTTTATAAATCTGAGTAAACAGGGGGAAACTTCACATAATAGCAAAGTGTTATTCAAAGCAAGATGGTGGAATGCATATAAGAGTCTGATGGACAGTGACTCCTTACTCTCTGACATATTCTGGTTGAAGCTCTTTACAGACCAGAGGCTCGCCATACCAGGTTTCCCTTTAGGGCATAGCTTCTGGAATAAGAGACATAAAACTGGTTGTCAAGAGGTGACAGGTATTATGGGTAATACATACAGTACTGCAATCATCACCATCTTGAAGAATTCTTTGAGAATTATCTAATGTTTTCACCCTATAGTTCAACTATAATATTTTATTCCTCTTCATATCAGTTCCATGACTGTCACTACTGGAGACCTAGTCCTTCAGTTTAAAAATACAGTACAGAAAAGGATTAAGTCCTCCTTTTCTGTTTAATGTTTAATATATAGTGCATGACAAGCAGACTCCTTGCAAATTGTACTTTGCTGGGGACAGTCTAGGCTGTAAAGTTGGTGTTATCACTTAGATAAATCTGTTTTTGTTTTTTATATGGGCTGTTTTGGTTCCTCCTCAGTCAGAATAGATGCAATAAATGACACTTTAAAGTGTAGAGAGAAGGTATGAGAGTTAAAGTTTAAATCAATACTGTGGCTTATAAAAGTAAATGCTGATTAACATTTAAGAAGATATGATAAAAAACAAATCCACAGAACTTAAGCTCTCTATTTGAAGGACCAAATGATATTATAAACAATTATCTTATCTGTAGAAAGATAAGGCCTGATGATGGACCAACAAAACAATCTTCCTTTGAATTGTCTTTAAATCCACAGGAACGCTGACTAAAAAACTTTTATTACACTAAAATAGGTAAAATAATAAAAACAAAAGGGCTGCATCAGCAAATAGCATATGGGTGTGTTTGATTTTAGTGGTTGTGTCCTCCAAGGACCTGGTCTACCTGAACTGGGTCCTTCGAAGTACGTGAAATTAAGGAGGCTGGAAAAGTTCACTGCTCGAATGCTCTGTCGCCTTGCAACGTCTACAGGTGACATACAAAGCAGGCAAAGAATGGATGCCGAACTTCTCACTATTGTTCTGGGTGCTAAAAACATTTTTTTCAGCTCAGCATCAGTACAGTCCTCAAAAATATTCAATTAAATTCAGTTTATTTCTATAGGCCACTATAAGAAAAAGCAAAGCATAACGTTAGAGATTGAACTAACAGATTCTGCAGAGTGGGAAGATACAAAATGATGAAAAAGGGGTCCATATGTCCTCCAGCAGTCTAAGCCTATAGCAGCATGACTATAGAGATAGTCCAGGATAACCTGAGCCACTCTAACTATAAGCTTTATCAAAAAGGAAAGTTTTAAGCCTAGCCTTAAAAGTAGACAGGGTGTCTGCCTCACGGACTAAAATTGGTAGTTGGTTCCACAGGAGAGGAGCCTGGTAACTAAAAGATCTGCCTCCCATTCTATTTTTAGAAATTCTAGGAACCACTAGTAAACCTGCAGATTGAGAGCGAAGTTCTCTGTTAGGAACAATCAAATCTCTGATATAAGATGGAGCTTGGCCATTTAAGGCTTTATATGTGAAAAGGAGGATTTTAAATTATATTCTGGATTTAACAGGAAGCCAATGAAGAGAAGCCAGGATAGGAGAGATGTGATCTCTCTTTTTCATTTTCATCAGAACTCTGGCTGCAGCATTTTTAATCAGCTGAAGACTTTTAACTACAGTTTGAAGACTTCCTGATAGTAAAAAAATACAATAGTCCAGCCTTGAAGTAACAAATGCATGGACTAGTTTCTCAGCATTAACCCTGGACAGGATATTTCTAATTTTTGCAATGTTCCGCAAATAAAAGGAAATTCTAGAAACCTCTTTGATATGGGATTTAAATGACAGATCCTGATCAAAAGCAACACCAAGATTTTTTACTTTATTATCTGAAATCAGTTTAATCCCATCCAAATTAAGTGACTGACTAATCATCTTCTTTTTTTCAAACACTCTGGTTCAAAGACTATAACTTCGGTTTTGTCTGCATTCAGAAGGAGAAAGTAAAGAGTCATCCAGGTTTTTATGTCTTCAGACATGCCTGTAATCTATGTAATGGGTTAGCTTCATCTGGATTTATAGACAGATATAGCTGGGTATCATCAGCATAACATTGGAAATTAATCCCATGCTGTCTAATAACTCTACCGATTGGGAGCATATATAAAGTAAAGAGAATTGGTCCTAGCACTGATCCCTGTGGTACCCCACAGGTAACCTTTGAGTATGTGAAAGATTTTTCATTATCGTAAACAAACTGAAATCGATAAGATAGATAATATTTAAACCAGTCCAATGATGTTCCTTTAATTCCACCAAAAATATTGAAGTCTTTCTAAAATAATATTATGATCAGCTGTATAAAATGCAGCACTGAGATGCAACAAGACAAGCACAGATACAAGTCCACCATCCAAGGCCATGACAATAACATCAACAACTTTCACCAGAGCTGTTTCAGTCAACTGGGGTGCCACCTGCTGGGCAGGGAACAAAATTGCAGAATGAAAAAAAATTAATTACATGTGTGCTTGTATTAATGATACAAATATACATTTGATTATTTTTTAGTCCTAGTATATTTAACACTATCTTTATTATATATTCTATATTTTAGATTTGTATTTGATTTTACAGCTTTATGTTGCTTTTAATTTTGCACCCGTCACATTTTTAGGTTGTTTAAGTATTGTAATTAAATCTACGAAATAGGTATATATTCTTTAGGTCATTGTCTTTAAAAAGGGATCTTTCAAAATTTTTAAATATGAAAATAATGATCATGGAATAACTGTGGAGCTGCTTTTTGGGAAGAGTGCAAGCTCTTACTTGCCAGCATTGGGCTGTGAGATATAGGACGATTTTTATCTCACGACAGACCCTCCTCCACAGGTACCAACGTTACCGCTGAGATTGCTGCTGGTAGATAGATCACTGGCCGACCATAATTTATAGTATTTTTGAGTATGATATTACATAGTCACTGCTATGTTTCAATGCTAAAATTTCACTTTTTTTAATGGTTAATCTTAGTCCTGAGATTTTAGTGAACTGCTTTTGTATCTAGAGCTAACATAACTTCATAATTTTGCAGAAATAAAGCAGTATCATATCATGTCATGCTAACTTTAAAAAAAAATGCAAATTCCAGCAAAAGAAGTTTGTAATACTAAATAGTTAAATATTTTGGAACTAATAAGAAGTTGTAAGCTGGACAGCTTTTGCACACCTCTCCTACTTCACTAAATCTGTGAGATGTACCATACATCAATTTAACAGAGCTGTGATTTTTTTTAATAAAGGGTTTTCATTCACTTTAAAAAGTAGTTGCCAAAGTTCAAGAAGGATTAGGTGTCAAAAAATGAATTGTGTGGAATGCCTTCTGAAAAATTAACAAAAGAATATATCATTTGAAATATCAAAAGAGAGTTTCTTTATTTTTTCAATGCTACCTTCCTCATTGGTTAGTGCTGGTGGAAGTGATACAGACCCCCTTGGGCCATGACAGAGTTCTCATTCAACTAGGTGTAAGTCAATGTATAATCACAATATTTATGAAAGTATTTTATGAAGGTTGAAAGGTTACTTAGTGTTGCCTTAACATGAAATATTCAAACACTCCTGGAGTAAATAAACATAATACAATGTGGAATTTTTTTTTGGTTGGTTTTAAATGTTTTTTATTAAAATTGTATAGTACACTTATTTATGACTTAAAGAACGTTGCTGAATTTTGATTTTAGGAGACAAAGCCATCCCCAAGTGTCGCACAGACAGCATTACATTTCTTCGGCCAGATTGTGAGTAGAACAATGTATATATATGTATTTTTTTCCAGTCCAGTCTCATTATATATGACATTCTGAATATTTAGGGCTTTTTATGGTAAATACATAACCTACAGGCTTTTTCAATTATACTTACATTACCTTTGGTGGGATTTGTTAAAGAATGAATAAAACATCCATCCATGCGAGAGGCGGGGTACACCCTGGACAGGGCGCCAGTCCACCACTGGGCAACACAGACACAAACGGGACAAACAAACATTCACACACACACTCACACCTAAGCAGAATTTAGAGAAGCCAATTAACCTAACATTCATGTTTTTTTTGACTGTGTGAGGAAGCCGGAGTACCCGGAGAGAACCCATGCATGCACAAGGAGACATGCAAACTACATGCAGAAAGACCGCGGGCCAGTAATTGAACCTGAAATCTTCTTGCTGCAAGAGAGCAGTGCTACCCATGTTCCAATGTGCAGCCCATGAATAAAACAATAACTGTTATTTTAGATGTTATTATTATATACTTTTATTATATTATCATTGACGCCTGATTGATCCATATTAACTGTGTGTTAACAATTATTTAATAAGCCAAAACATTGATTAATAGAGCTTTGTTCATATTTTGGTTTAATATAGTCCCTCAAAGTGATTTGAAAATTCAGCATGAGAAGTACAAGGTTTACAGTGTGATGTAGAGTCTCGACATGACTTAACTAGAATTCTTAAGAGTTCAGCAGGCTTATGGCACTGGGGAAAAAGCTGTTGCAAAACCTGCTGGCCCTACATCAAATACTGCAAAGCCTCGTCCCAGAGGGTTACGGGTACAGAGAACAGTCTGTGGTCCGTGGGGTGTGAGGGGTCGCTGATGATGTTACGGGCTCAGAACACACAGTGCTGGAATCAAATGTCTTTTACGGAGGGAAGTGATACCCCGATGATCCTCTATGAAGACTTAAAGCATGCTGGCTCTACGGATTGGTCCAGCAAGGTGTTAAAAAAATTTTCTGAGGACACCTGCCAATGGATCTGCAAACTTCTTGAATACCCGCCCAGGTGTGTTATTCAGGGCCTGGTGCCCTCCTTGGGTTCACTCTCCTTTCAGTTTTCCACATGTCAGCTGTGTCATGGCAGAGTGCCTCCTCTCCCTGATGGGGAACAACTTTCACTGCTGGAGAGCTCTTTAGTGTCTCACACCTTCCAAAGAAGTTGTTTAGTCCATTTAGAAAGTCAGCATCAGCTACACCCAACGGGAGGGAGGGTGTGTTGTAGTCTGTGATCGCCCATATGCCTTGTCACATCCTCCTGGTGTTGCTGGCATCGTGGAAGAGATCCTAGATATTCTGGCTGTGGTTCTGCTTCAGTAATCTCAGTAAGCTTGCAATTTCCTCAATGCCTCTCCGACTCCAGACTTGAAGGCTGAGTTCCTTGCTTTTAGATACTTCTGAACCTCTCCATGGCCCCCACAGTGCACGCTCTGACCTCTTTCGCTGTTGGTTTTGCCCTCATTTGATTAGGCCTGTATGCAGGAATAAGCATGACAAATAGATGACTCGAGGTAGGGGCGAGGAGGTGCTCTGAATGCATCTTTGATGTTAGAGTAGGCTAAATCCAGAGTGTTTTGACCCAAAGTGGCAAAGTCCATATGTTGGTAAAAATAAGGGAGCACAGTCTTCAACTTAGCTTGGTTAAAGTCCCAGCAATGATGAACACGCCCTCGATGTCTGGAAAGCAGTTGCTGATGACTGATCCAGCATTTTTAAAACTAGTTGTTGATATAAACAAAAACCCCACTTCGTCTTATCTTACCGCTAAGTGGGCTGTTACTATCGACGCTGTATAGTGAGAACCCCTCAAGGCTAACAGCATTGTCCCGTATCAGTGAATGAAGCCTCAGTCAGGATGATGGAGCAGCCAGCAGTTACTAATCTCCTTTGTTGAAGAGAGTTCGAGTCTGAGCTTATACATTTTTTTATCCAGTGAGCGGATAGCAGGATTGATGGGATCGGTGTTCTGTGGGAATTCCTTCTAGCTTCACTGTTACCTCTGCAGCCCCTCTTTTGTTTCCTAGCACACCACCTCCTTTGGTCTTTTCTTAAGCATGGGCTGCCCCATGAGCCTCATATCTGTCCCTATTAAGATTGGCTGTATCCAGAAATTTTTTTTTGTGACAGTAGCTCCAGCAGGCACTGGCAGTCATAGTTGCAGGATCAATACCTAGTTTATAGCATTCTAGGTGGCATATTTTGTGGATTTGTCTAGAGCTGTATCAGGCCGCTGCCTACAGGCGGCACCATGATTTAAAAGGATAGATTAACACAAAGGGATAGATTAATCACATCTAAAAGGGAAAAGGAAATTAGAGGGAACCCTTCCTTAAATAACTTGGTTGAAATTGGATCAAACATGCATGTTGAAGGCTTAGATGAGGGTAATAGTTTTGCTAACTCTGAAAGTTCAGCTGGATCAAAGCAGTCTAAACCTTGTTCAGATTCTATAGTTACCTCAGATGCTGAGTACTTCGAAGACCTCCTTAATCCCACCAACACGTCTTCCATCGAGGAAGCAGAGCATTGGGGCTCCGGCTTGGGTCCTCCCATCTCTGTTGCTGAAGTCACGAGGTGGTTAGAAAGCTCCTCGGTGGCAAGGCAACATCGCGTGGACATCAGGGGAAGTTCCACTAGATTGGCAGACCGGGGTGGTGGTCCCTCTATTTGAAAAAGGGGAGCGGAGGGTGTGTTTCCAATTACAGAGGAATCACACTCTTAAAACTCCCTGGTAAGGTCTATTGTAGGGTTCTGGAAAGGAGGGTCCGTCGGATAGTCGAATCCCGGATTCAGGAGGAGCTGTGGGGTTTTCGTCCAGGCCGGGGAACACTGGATCAGCTCTATACCTTCAGCAGGATTCTGGAGGTTGCATGGGAGTTTGCCTAACCAGTCTACATGTGTTTTATGGATCTGGAGAAGGCATTCAACCGTGTCCCTCGGGGGGTCCTGTGGGGGGTACTCCGGGAGTATGAAGTACCGGGCCCTTTAATAGGGGCTGTTAGGTCTCTGTATGACCGGTGTCAGAGCCTGGTCCGCATTGCCAGCAGTAAGTCTGACTCGTTTCCGGTGAGGATTGGACTCTGCCAAGGTTGCCCTTTGTTACCGATTCTGTTCATAACTTTTATGGACAGAATTTCTAGGCGCAGCCAAGGTGTGAAGCGGCCGGGATGAGGATCAGTGCCTCCAAATCCAAGACCATGGTCTTAAGCTGGAAAAAGGTAGAGTGCCTTCTCCGGGTTGGGGATGATGTACTACCCCTTGTGGAGGAGTTTAAGTGTCTCGGGGTCTTGTTCACGAATGAGGGGAAGATGGAGCGAAAGATCAATAGGCTGATTGGTGCGGCGTCTGCTGTGAAGCGTGCACTGTACCGGTCTGTTGTGGTGAAGAGAGAGCTGAGCCAAAAAGCAAAGCTCTCGATTTACTGGTCGATCTAGGTTCCTACCCTCATCTATGGTCATGAGCTTTAGGTCAGAGTGGCTGGGGAGAGGGATGTCTGGGCCTCCCTACTGAAGCTGCTACCCCCGCGACCCCACCCCAGATAAGGCGAAGAAAATGGATGGATGGAATCAATTTGATTATCACAAATTTAAGTAATTAAAATATATCTCATGTGAAACAAACCACATTTATTAGTTATAACTTTTCCCCTAATTTGAGTTATTTTAAGAGACTGTATGGATGGAGAAATGAGTGGGTAACAGCAGAGAAGCCTCAGAGAGGCGTGTTAAACTACAACTCTACTTCTTGGTCTGCTTTTCTCCAGAGTTGACTCTGACTGTTCTATTAAAACAGTTTTTCTCCCTTTCACCTTTTTAATGTTAGCTAAAACATAATTAATTTTAGTGTTTTTAATTATTATTATTTTTTTTACCTTCCCTTCTTATGCTAGTGCAATGTACTTTTTCATGTTTTCTTCATTTAAAGCATTATAATCGCCAGTAACATTGTCTGGTTAGTGATATTTTCTATAGAAATAAACCTGCATTGCCCTATGATAAGAACATGTAATTTGGATAATTGTTGTCTTGTAGTCTCTGGGCAGCACCAGTCACCATCAGCCCGGGTTGCCGCCAAGAAGATGCAGAAACCCAAACGAAACATCAGCCTAAAAAACTTTGTGCCAAAGTCAAAGGGTAAGATTCCTCAGTCTTTAATCTCTCTATCCACCTCATTTTAGGTAATCCTAACCTATTTTGAAAAATCTAAAATGGAAAAGCAAACAATTTTGTAGATTTGTAAGCCCAAATTACATGTGCAATACATTTTTTGAAAGTTAACACCCTCTAGTTTCCTTATATATAAATATATTCCATTTAATTAAATTAAATTGTGTGACTAGAACACAGACCAACCTGCATCAGTTCAAACATGACTCAAAGTTGTTTTTTTTATTCTCGGAAATATCTCTTTTTTGAACAGCAGTAATAAAGACCTTTTTGAGAGAAAGCAGGTTTTATTGTATTATATTTTTCTGCATAATGTCAACCACAAATGCAGACAATGTCAGACCTCTAGCTATAACAGTTCCAGAGGTGTGGGGCTCTGGAACTTTTGGTGTCAGCTGGGAGCTGCGCGTAATGGCTCCACCTGCTGGTAAAAATGTTACCGGTGGAATGTTATGCATTCTGAATTATTACCCCCACTTAAAGGGGAACTTCGTTTTTTTTACATGGGGCCCCTTGATTTTACGTTATTACATAATGTTCTACTCACCCATATAAGGTTGTGTATATTTGGAGCCGTTCTGAAGATATTCCGTTATCTCCAAGTAACGTCTTTCTATGGACGAACATCTTGAAGGCACAAACTAAACTGTTGATGTCATCCACGTGCCGGCTACCATTCATTCATCCTGTCCACTGAACTGCTGCTAGTTTTACTCACATGCCTGGAAGATGTCTAGTGCTACTACGCTAGTAGAGAGTAGCCGCCTGTGGCCCGGGCTTCCTGTTACGACTCCAGTCCAGATGCGAAAACAAAACTCATTTATGTCTACATGTAATGTTTTTTGAGCTTATGTTTGTCTCAAAATAGGGCTTCTTGGAGATCATATGCATCTTCACCTTTAGTAGTTTTGTGGGGCCTTATTTGTGTTTCTGTGTAGTGTTTTATGAAACATTTTTGTGCCCTCACTATTTTTGCAGGTCATTTGAATCTTGAAGCTTCTGGAAGCATTTTTTCCCCCCCTAGTGTTCTGTCTGACAATGTGGCAATAAGAATAATTGTGTTGATGCAAAAAAGAGCCCAAAAGATTTTAACTTAACAAGTGCAGCAGTACGGCTTTCGTCATAATGTTCCACTTGATTTATGCATGCAACTAGCTTTATTATAATTCATGCAGGCAGTATTTCAGATTATTTGGACATTGCAAAGGAAAAGTACAACAGGAAAGGAAAAACAAGAAAAAGGAGAAAAGATGAAAGAAACAGGAGATAAAAGTGAGACAATGATAAAATGTCTTCAGACTTCTTCTTCACCTGCAAAGAGAGATATAAAAATAACAGCACAACCAATGGATATAGTAGGAAGAGTTGTTAAAATATAAAAAAATGTTGCTGTCAAATACAAATTGGTTGCTCTTCACTTTTGTGTTGTTGCTGTCATGATGGGTTATGGAGGCAAGCCCAAGATGCAGAACACACACGGAGGAGGCAGGGAAAAAGTTCAAATGTTTATTAAAAGTTCAGAAACACAATGTTAATGCACTGGGACTGGAATTGGTCAGGGGCTGGTTCACTGGAGTCTTGACTGGGACTGGAGACTGTTGGTTAGCAGAGTTCATGAGAGGCTAAGCATCTAGCTTCAGGCTTAGCATGGCAGTCCTAGATTTGAGCTACCAGCTCACTGCAGAGAACAACAGGGAATAACCACATAGGATTCTTCAGGCTGAGCTTCCAGCTCATTGCAGAGAACAACAGGGGAATTTCCACATTGGGTTCTTCAGGCTGATTCCACATAGGAACCTTCAGGTAAACTCCACATAGTAGTCTTCAGGTAAAATTCACATAGGAATCTTCAGGTTGGCTCACCAGGGCAGATAGCAGGTTAAGCTCACCTAGAGCTGCAGGCCAGAGACAGGTTGCCTGTGAGGCAGCTCTTCCAGAGCTTCACGAGGAGACAGGAGGTTAAGCTCATCCAGAGCTTCACGAGGAGACAGGAGGTCACGAGGAGACAGGAGGTTAAGCTCATCCAGAGCTTCACGAGGAGACAGGAGATTAAGCTCATCCAGAGCTTCACAAAGAGACAGGATTCCTGTGAGGCAGAAACAAGGAAGAGTTAGAATCTGATCTCACACTAGAGATAACTAAGATTCTTCTGTAACAGAGGCTCAGGAAGCTAACCAACTAAGATCAACACTGCGGCGTTGAGGCAAGGTCTGAAGTCAGCTTATATAGGAGAGGTCTTCTGATGAGAGGATTAGCAACAGGTGTGCAGGGAGGCTCCAGCTCCAGAAGACCCACGGCGCACTCTGCTGGAGACAGAGGGTAGTCTACAGATCCCCACAGTAACTCCAACCCTAAGGAAAAACACAGAGCAGAAGAGGATCCTCGGCGCCCTCTGGAGGGCAAGCCTGAGGATCCTAACAGTACCCCCCCCTCAAGGGCGGATTCCAGACGCCCCCTTAAAAAGTCCAACAAAAATAAACAAAAAACAACCCACCCAGGGTGGGCGGAGGGGGCACTAAGGCAAGGAGGGCCAGAAACAAAAAACAGAGTCCAGAAAACAAAAAACAACCCACCCAGAGTGGGCGATGGAGGAAACAGGCCAGGAGGGCAAAAACAAAAACAAAGTCCAGAACAAAAAACGATCCACTTACGGTGGACGAAAACAAAAGAAAACCCAGACGATTTTTTGGGCAACGTTTCCGGTGGCCGGTCGTGGCACCCGCAGCGGGACAGAGTCTCAGGTGGCCGGTCGTGGCACCGGCAGCGGGACAGAGTCTCAGGTGGCCGGCCGAGGGACCGGCAGCGGGACAAAGTCTCAGGTGGCCGGCCGAGGGACCGGCAGCGGGACAAAGTCTCAGGTGGCCGGCCGAGGGACCGGCAGCTGAAGCGTAGCAGATGCTCAGGAGGCCGACCGTTGGGACGGAAGCGAGGCCGATTCTCAGGGGGCCTACCGCTGGGCCGGAGGCGAGACAGATGCTCAGGAGGTCGACCATGGGGCTGGGGACGAAGCAGCGTCTTAGGGGAACCACTGCCGGGCCGGAGGAATGGCAGAGGTTCTGGAGGCCGGCCTAGGATCCGGTAACGGAGCAGAGTCTTAGGTGGCCGGCTGCGGGGTCGGAGGCGAAGCTGACACTTTGGGGGTCTGCCACGGGGTCGAAGGCGAAGCCGACGCTCCGGGGGTCTGCTGCGGGGCCGACGGCGAAGCCGACGCTCCGGGCGTCTGCCGCGGGGCCGGAGGCGAAGCTGACGCTCTGGGGTGCGGCCGCGGGGCCGGAGGCGAAGCAGCTTCTCAGGAGGATGACGCCCAAACTTCAGCAGGTACCCCCACGGGGTACCCCGTCCCCTCCTCGACAGCTCAGGAACAGGCTCAGAAGCGACCGCCGACTGTGGCTCAGTTAGTTGTTTCAGATTCTAAAAGCTGTAGCCAGAATCTTCTGTTGCATTCTGTCTTACAAATGATCCGAAAGATACATTTTTATTTCAAATTAAAGACAGAAACAATTTTTTGCATGAAGTATAGAATTTTCTTAAATAGGCATTTCAGAGTTTTCTAATGATAATGCTACTTGTGGCCAAAATACAGAACTGCTGCAATCTTCCGCTTGTCCCATTGGTTCGCCCTTGTACCCAACAAAGTTATTATTATTATTAATATTTTTACTTTATTCACCTTTCCTGGAGTTGCCATTGGTGTCTGGGTTGAGTTTGATGTCAGGGTCTTCTGCAGCTGTGTCTGAATATCTGCCCTAATCACTATATAGGACATTATAAAGTGGTTATGCCATTTTTGATGAGTGTCCAAATGTCTAGCTAGTTCAGGGGTCGGCAACCCACTGCTCCAGAGCCGCCTGTGGCTCTTTAATGCCCCCCTTACAAGTCCCTGGAGCTTTGTGAAAAATGTATGAAAATGGAAAAAATGCTTTACAAGAGCTCTCCTCGTAAGGGTCCTCATGGGATTTGTTGTGACAGTAGTAGAGAATCAACACGGGGCAGGCACCGTGCGGGGAGGCGGAGTTAGGTGAGCAAAAGGGAGCGAAAAGTAGTGATGATCTCTCCACACAATTACAGTAGCACAAGGGCGCCACCAGGGGGTGGCCCCGGCTATGCTGGGCTATGTTCACTTCCTGTTTTGACTGCTTTGCAGCGTGTTGTTCAGGCTATCTCCTTCTGAATTAAGTTTTTTTTTGCTGTGATATCTCTGTATCTCAGTAACTAACTTTTCAGAAGCACTTTAAAACATAGCACCTTGTGCTGCACTTCTCTACTGAGGAGTTGTCGCTTTCACATGGTTTTATTTCTGGTTCTAAAGAGTAGCTAGCCTAGGCTAGCGCTAGCTTAACATAGCTATGGCTTCCCCCTCCCCCTCCTTTGACTCTTCTCTTCCTTCTTCCTCTCCTCTCTCCTGCTCTCTGTGTCAGATGTTCAGTTATTCCTCGTCCTCCTTTAGTGATAATGGGATGTGTAATAAGTGTAGTAGTTTTGTAGCTTTGGAGGCGAGGGTGTCAGAGTTAGAATCCAGGCTTCAGGCTGTTGAACATCCAGGAGTGAAAATAGGTCCCACACGTAGTTGTCCTCCAAAGTGCCTGAGGAACCAGGCGATTGGGTAATGGTACGCAGAAAGCGTTGTCGTGGATCTCTGCCCACTGGTGACCACCAATACGTCCACCTTTCTAACAGGTTTGCCCCGCTCAGTGAAGGCTACCCTGGTTATTAGCAGCTCCATAGTCAGAAACTTGACATTAAAGACACCAGGGACCATAGTCAAATGTTTGCCGGGGGCCAGAACGGGCGACATCAAATCCTACCTGAAGCTGCTGGCTAAGGATAAGGTTAAATAAAGTAAGATTGTTATTCACCCTACCGGTAATGACACCCAGTTACACCGATCGGAGGTCACTAAAATTAATGTTGCTTCTGTGTTTAAGTTTGCCAACAAAATATCGGACTCCGTAATTTTCTCCGGTCCCCTCCCTGATCTGACCAGTGATGACATATTTAGCCGCATGCCGTCATTCAACCGCTGGTTGTCAAGGTGGTGTCCTAAAAACAACGTGGGCTACATTAATAATTGGTAATCCTTTTGGGGAAAGCCTGGTCTGATTCGGAGAGACGGCATCCATCCCACTTTGGATGGTGCAGCTCTTCTTTCTAGGAATCTGGCCACATTTATTAGTCCTCCAAAACCCTGACCACCCAGGGTGCAGACCAGGAAGCAGAGTTGTAGTTTAACACACATCTCTGCAGCTTCTCTACTGTTACCCACTCTTTACTCCATCCAGACAGTGTCTTGCCCACGACCAAAATCTAATTAGAAAAAGATTCACAAAGGAGTCAATCATGATAATCTACTTAAAATTAAAATAACTCCAATTGGGATAAATGTAGATCAGTTCCAAACCTCACATAGACCATATCATTTTTGCCTCATGGTAATAATCTTTTAACTTGAACAGGGTGCAGATTCATTCTTTTTTCATGAACTTTACATCAGGATTTGACATCCTTGACAACAAGTCATATCATGCACGCACGGCTTATATCTTCCTGACTCTTAGATTTTTTTTCCCTCCAGGTGTCAATGATGGTCTTAGGATTGTGCTGATCGGAAAGACCGGCTGTGGAAAGAGCTCCTCTGGAAACACCATTCTGGGAAGAGAGGAATTTAAAGCTGACCCTGGCAATAGTTCAGTGACCAGGTACTGCCAGAAAGGACGGAGTGAGGTGGCTGGTCGCACAATCACTGTGGTGGATACTCCTGGACTGTTTGACACCAGTATGTCCAATGAAGAAGTCAATGAGGAGATGACTAAATGCATCACTCTTCTGGCTCCAGGACCACATGTCTTCCTCCTGGTGTTGAAAATTGATAGGTTTACTGAAGAAGAGAAGGACACTTTAAAACTGGTGAAAAAAGTCTTTGGTGAAGCTTCAAAAAAGTTCACCATCGTCCTCTTCACTAAAGGAGACTCATTAGATCATCATTTGATGTCTGCAGAAGAATACATCAAAAAAGCTGATGATTTTATTAAGAGCCTAATTAACGATTGTGGAGGAAGGTACCATGTGCTTAATAACTACAGTAAAGATAACAAACAGCAGGTCTCTGAGCTGATAGAAAAGATTGAGAAAATGTTGGAGGGAAACGGTGGTGACTGTTTCACTAATGCAATGCTAAATGAAGCAGGGGAAGCAATCAGAAAAGAAGTGGAAAAAATCCTGAAAGAAAGTCAGGAGGAGATGCAGAGTCAGCTTCAAAAGCTTATGGAAGAACAGGGCAAAAAAGTGAAAGAAATTCAAGAAAGCATGGAGGAAAAGAAAGCAGATAAAGCAGCAAAGAGAGAAGAAAATTTAAATGAACTTGAAAAAATGAGAATTGAAATCAACAATAAGAGCAAAAAGATTAGGAGAGATAAGGAAATAAAGGAAATGCAAGATAGGAAGAAGAAGAAGGAAGAGAAGGAGATGGAATGCAGGAAGTCAGAAGCAAAGCTGAAGGAGTTAGAGGAAAAAATAAATTCTACAACAGATCTGGAGAAGAAAAGTTTAATGGAACAAATCAGAGAAAGTATAGTAAAGGAACAAGAGAGCACAAAGGAAAAAAATAATCTGTACTGGGAACAACGCAAGAAAGAGAACAAAAGAATCTGGAAAACTGCTGAATCAAACCTCAAACAGCTTCAAAGCCAGTATGATCAGAGCAAAAAGATGTTTGAAAAACAGGTTGAAAGTGAGGATGAAGAAATAAGAAAAGAAGAGGAAAAACTGGAAAATTTGATGGAAGAGTATGATATGAAAGAAAAAAACCTCAAGGAGAAATACGAAGAGGATGCTAGAGAGCGAGCTCAAGAGTACAATGAATTTAAGGGGAAATACAGGACAAATTTTGCAGGTCTGTTGGAAGAACACCTTGAACAAAGAGAGGCTATAGAGAAAATATATAAAGACGAAATTGCAAAAAGAGAAAAGAAACTGGAAGATTTAAAGATCAAACATGAAGAAGAAATAAAGATGATAAAGGAGAGATACAAAAACCGGTGTGTGATCGCCTAAGAGCTTCTGTTCAGCTGGAAAAGGTGCATAACTTATCAGTCCAACTCACATCAAGACTAAATCTAAAAAAAATGAACAATATGCTAACAGGAACTACTAAAGCTAAATTGTCCTGAGTTCTACTGTAGGTACTAAAAAATACAAATGTAAGAAGAAAATCCCTGGCTGCAAAGTGTCAGTTAGGGTGAAGAAAATTCGAATCATGCTCTCAACGAGTATCTACAGTGACACACAGTGGACCATTCATAACACGATAGAAACACAACAGACACTTAAGAATGCCAAATCCCAGCATCACACCTTTATACCCTGTATGTGTATGTGGAATTAATGATCATTTATTTAATATTCTGTTTACTATTCAATATAAACTGAATGGGGAGTTATCAATGAAGTTAAATATCATGGTGGAGGTAGATAGGTTTGCTGCTTTTTTGTAGCTTTCATAATTCAGTTAATGAGCATTTAGGACAAGCAATATTTAATATTTAGTATATATTTGTATAGTTTAAGTGCTGGTGCCATGTGGTAGATTATACAGTAGACAACTGTGCAATAACTGTCATGTGCATGGGGCACTTTATTGTAATTTACTCATTGTTTGCTATATCACTTTATATGGAGCAATGTTTTACAATGAATTGCCCATTCCTAATGAAGGATTTAGAACCATATTTGGACTAATTTCTTTCTTGAATACCTGATAATAATATTTGTTAACCAAATTGTTGTAGACCCAGAGTACTTACTTTAGACTCCACATGGTATAAATGCCTGAAAACATCATTCAACAATAATGAAGAGCAGGGCTATCCTGGGCTATTTATACCATAAGAGAGCAAGGGTTGCACTGGTTGAACTGACTACAGTTCATGGATAGCTTCATCTACACAGCGTCAGCAGAGTCTCTTCTGAGCAGATTTTGATTGAAAAAATAACTCAAATTTGACAAGGTCAGATAATAAAAACATTTAATTAAAAACCAGTATAAAAAAAACAGTCTGCAAAGACTGCAAAGCCTGACTTCATTACCAGTCTGCCGTTGCATACTCTCACTAGAGCAGATATAGTAACTACATTTAAAGAAAATGAAAGCATAGCAGGGACAGTTTAAAAATGTAGGCCACTGGATGATGCAGTTAGAGGTGATTCTATGGCAGCCATCTGTTTATTTATTTATTTTTTTAAAGGCAAGGCAAATGTATTTGTATAGCACAATTCAGTACAAAGACAATGCAAAGTGCAGAATCAAAACCTTTTACAGGTCAGGTATTCTGTTTATTGAGACATTCTATTAACTGCTTATGTCCCATTCTGCCCTACCCGCTATATACACGATATGTGGTTCAAAATAGGACAAAACTGACTGTTTTCCCTTGTGGTTGAGAGATTTTATTTTGCATTTCCCTAAAGTGAATGCGTTTTACTTTGTAACCAAATCTCTTTTATAGTTAGATGCTGAATTGTCTTCTTGTCCAAATACACTCAAAGAGCCCACTCTGCTCTTTAGTATTTAGATAATACCATGCTTTACAAATAACAGCAGAAATTAATTATTGGAAAAAAAACAACAACAAATAAAAAAACTGTCTTATTAGCTTCTGCCAGACAAGAGCAATGTCCCGATATGAGGTCACCGGTTTTGCAGCTGGAGCAGAAGCATTTAGTTTCGAAGGCAGTTGCTATTGTGATTTCTCGGATTTGGCTGAGCTATATAAACAAAAATGTTTTGCCATTCTTTTATCATAACTGTCCAGTATTCACTCTCAAAAAACTGAAAACTGTATTTCTCTTATGAATTAACTCTTCACCACATCTTTAAAAGTCATGAAACAGCCACACCAGAATCATCATCGATTCTGGCTATTTTATCCAATTTGAGAGCCTTTGAACCAGGTCTTCCTCAATGTTTCTGTATTTTTCCCCTGACAGAAAATTTTGCAACTCTAATTAAAACTTAGCTGCTTATATAGTACATTTTCATTTTTTTTTGTGTTTTTCATGCTCCCTTAAAGCTACAGTGTGTAACTTTTAGCGACATCTAGCGGTCTGACTGCAGACTGCAGCAACATGAACATTTCCCCCCCACCGCTTCTCCCCCCCAACAGTACGGCGAGCGTTACGGGACAAAATGTCTTCCACGACGTCCGCATCACCTACCTTCTCAAGTGATGAGGTTCCTTTACATAGATAATTTTACAGATAGTATTTAACTAGTCTGTAGTCTGCGATCTCGCAATCACTAGTTTGTTGGCTCTGCGCTGCCGTAGCGCAAAGATATCTGCCTCCATGGCTGCGAGACCCGCTCCTATGTAATTAAAATAACGAATTCTAAGGCAACGCAAATATTAAGGTTAAGAGGCTGAGCTCGTAGATGATGATAAATAACATAGTTATGTATAATATATTAGATTTCTGACTGTATATCCCTGTAATTATTACACACTGTAGCTTTAATAAGCAGAAATTATAAAAAAATGTTGTTAGGCGTTTAAGCGGTTTTAGCAGTCAAGTGTCTCATGTGCACAGGCCTTGTTTCAAACAATAATGATGTCATACTTCAAGTCAGTTACAATTTAAGACCACTTTATTAATCCATCCCAGTGGATAATTGAATGAAGAAGAAACTTTTTGGTATAAAATGTGGATCCATATTAAGCAAATTCTACTAAAAGAAACTTGAAGATTGACGTCCTTCAGAAGTCCAAAGTCTTTCTTATTGTGATGGTTCTTCACCACCCTTAGACCTTAGTGTGGAAACAACAATGAGGTGGAAGCTGCTGTTGCACATAATGAATAATATGGCACACCTTCTACCAAACACCCTGAACAAACACTGAGGTCTCATCAGCTACTGGATGAAAGGAATCACTCTGAGACTCCAGATCCACAGAGGGATTTAAAGGGTTCTATCAAAATTAATATTTATCTGATTGAATGTGTGATAAAGATTTATTACCGTATAATATTGACTGTTTCAACAGATTGTGTACTGCATACAGAAACTGGTTTATTTAAATCTTCTTTCAATCAGTTTTATGTATTTTTTTTCCCAGTTTGATTAAGAAACAGAGATTGTTATTATTTTTGAAGAATCATTCCATGTATTACAATGGAAAAAAAAAAAAAAAAAAAAAACTTTCAGGACTATGAGATCAAGAGATGATTTTGGTTTAGTGTAATTTCTACAATCTAAAATAAAATAGACATTGATTCAGCCATGTGAGTGGTGTTTTAATCCCCCAACCTGTGTGTGTGAATTCCTGTTTTTATATTAAGGACCACTTATCAGATTTTACCATCAAATTAAGGACTGTTTGTACCCACTTGAATATAATTTGTTGATTTGTCCTTCTTCTTTTGCTAACTGTTAGGTTAAATACTGCAGAACAGAAAGTTTTTTTGTTAACAGCAAATCAAATATATTCACAGTCGAGCAGAGGATTAATTCCCTGTAAAAAACCTTGAGTTGACATGTGATATCATTTGGTGGTATATAAATAAACAGAATTGATTTCATTGAAAAAACTAATGTCAAAGCTTTCAATAAAACAACTTCACATGGATTGCAGTTGTATAAGAATAAAACATGTAAATGGTGTGCAGAGGATGTGAGAGACTGAGGGACAGAAAACCAAGGAAGAAAAAGCAAAGGAGGAAGTGTTGGTTCTTCTACAGCAGACCTTGTATCATTTTCACAGGAATCTCTGGACTCTTCGACATCTCCTGTACCTTGTGTATACATCTTTGCAAAAGCATTAACTTATGAAATATATAGGAGACAGTAGACATCATTCTCAATTTAACTGGTAGCCACACTGCCCTGCTCTGGCCGAAAACACAGAGAAGCAAGGAGGCTCCACCTTTATTGCTTTTTATAAGCACTTAACTGTGCTGATATGCAGAATGCATTCAATAGTAGTTCTGGATATGCCCAATAGATGGATCTATTAAGTTATGAATACGTCAAGTACTCGTTAAAATAAAGTTGGGCACATGCTCATGGTGGATCCTACCTTGTTTAATGACTGAGTTCATAAACAACACATGGTACCTTGAGTGAAACTGGATGTCAAGCAACTGGATTAACTGAAGATGGAGACACTAAGGCCACTGGAGGGACTGAAATTTGTTGGAAATGTGGACAGCAATTGGTGATCTTTTAAACAGCAGTTTGAGCTGTAGTTGTCCGCCACGGGGACAACAAGCCAGGACCGAGAAAAATTGCAATTCTGCTCACGGTAGCGGGTCCCTAAGCCATGGAAGTCTTCAACACATTCGAGTTTGCCAGGGCTGAAGACAAGGAAGACTACAGTAAAGTCATAGAGAAATTCGAAGCATTCTGCTCCCCGAAAAAAAAACATTGTATACAAGAGGTTTGTGTTCCGGTCACAAATGCAACAGGCAGGAGAAAAATTTGACTGCTTTGTGAATGATTTAAAACTGAAGGCACAGTCATGTGATTTTGGAGATTTAAAAGACCTTGTGACCTCCTTTTCATTTCTAAATGGTAGAATGTCGACCTGCACAGCTTTTCCACATTTCTCTTTAGCTTCTGCTTCTCTGGGTTGAGAGAAGTAAACAGGCACTGATGGGGCAGTAACTGTGACTCCCTGTAATGTCCATCCTAGTCAGGTATGAATGGCAGCTGGGCCCCCTGGTGGGCCAAGGCATACTCTCTGTAGGACATGGAAGGTAGGGGTGATTAGCCCTGACTAACAGCAATGGCGAGACATTATTGAAGCCTTGGAGAGGTATCACTGCATGAAAAGTGGGATTTTCGTCAATATGCTGCACTGTAGATTGTCGTGGAACTTCAGGTTAGCGGCAGTTTAAGGCAATTTGCAGGCTTTGCCGAAAACTCCCGTAAATTGTCAGAAATTGACGTGTACTTTCTTAGGCAGTGTTCCCCCCATGCCTCCCCCCCATGGAATTCTAGGGGAGGCTTTAACAAGTAAATGAAAATGCTGTGAGCTATACAAATGCAAATCAGGATTGCAGGGGGAGTTTTACCCCAAGTGACATTTTTCTAAAAGGTAAGAAAATCTCTGATACAAAGAGATCAGGCTCAGGCCCCATCCACACGAAGCCGAACCCTGGCCTAAACGCACAAATTTTTCACCAAACCAGCCTCTCATCCACACGAAGCCGGCGTTTCAGGGGTCTGTAAACGATCTTTTTTTTATTCAGCCTTCAGAGTGGCAAGATTTTGAAACGCCGTTTTCGCGTTTCCATCTTTAAGCTCAAACCGCATTTTTTTTTTTACACGCATGCGTCATAGCGTCGCCTCTAAACACGCATGCACGACACAGTATCACAACAACAATGGCGCCGTACTGTGTTGAATGGTTGCTGCTCATGCTACTCACCCTGCTGTCGGGCTTACAACAGAATCTTCTTCTTCTGGAATATCTCCAGGAAGAACAGAGCAATATCGACGACATAGTTCAGCACCTCAATTTGACTGAACCACGAAAATGGACCCGCAGGGCAACCATGTATAAATATTAGTGCGCATGCACAACATTTCGTCGCCTATTTTTGCTTTGGCACCACAGCGCCAGTTATAGGCCTGGCATACATTTTGCAGCGTTTTCATGCGTTCGTGTGGACGATCACATTTATTTTACGTCTCCGTCTTTACGACAAACGTTCTGGAAAATATTAGCGTTTCGTGTTCGTTTTGACTTCGTGTGGACGGGGCCTCAGTATAGCCTCTTACATTTTAGCTTGAATTGATTTATTTAATTAAAGTATAGAGACCAAAACAGATCTTTAGCTGACAGAGCAATACATTTAGAGCAGTAATTATTTTAAAAAAAATTTGCATTTAAGAGAAAAAATAAAATGTTGTCTGTCAATATGCTCAATTCACAATTACTTAAGTGGAAAAGTTTCAAGAAATGAGTCTGAGAGGATTCACTTTATAACATGGCGCATTATCCTGCTGGAAGTAGCCATCAGAAGATTGGTACACTGTGGTCATAAGGTCCGGCCAGGTCAAGATCCGCAATTGCAGTCGCACCAAACAGGAAAAAGAACATAGACAAATTCCGGTTCGTCAAATTAAAATATAGCAGCAACAGATCGGTGACTAGAAATTATAGCACAATTCTTATATATAAAAAAAAAACTAACACCGTTTATTTAAATGATTGGATCCAAACTATTGGTTATTCACCAACGAGGAAGCAGATTTCTCATCTCCATCAAAATATTTATTTTATACCGAGGGACCTAAACTTTAATCAAATCCATTCAAAAGAAACTTCTTATTACAGGAATGAAAAGAGATGCTGAGTTTGGGAGTAGAGAACAAGTTCATTCAAAAAAAGCAGTTTTGAATTATCCTTATCCCCGTTACAAAAATCTACAAATATATATATATATATTTGGGCAGAAACTGAACATATGCTGGATGATGGTGGGATTTTTTTAATATGTCATATTAAATTAAGCGCTCAGGGTTCATACAGGAATGAGTGACTCTAATTTAATGCTATTTTAATGCTATTAGAAATTATTTTAATGCCATCAACAAGAACCATGAACACAAGTTATTAGTGTACATGAAATATGAAGGAGCTGTAAGCACAGTTCCATGACCCCTGTATGTATGTAAACACACACACACACACACACACACATATATACGTATATATATATCCTCTAGCTTTTTCTCCGCCTGGAGCTTCCTTTCCGAACATACGGCTTTATGATCAGTTCCACGCAAATTAATAGCGATATAATATATCTGACGAAATTGTTTTTATAAGCATTTTTTATTAAAGAATTATAAATACTTCGATAAACATATTTAAATAATTTTAGTGCCAATTAAGGCCTTGATTAAAAAAAAAAAAATGAATGAATTGTAATTATTTTTAATGATCCGCGGAAACCCTGGTTCATCTCGCGCATGCTCTCTATGATCTCCAAGAAACTCAGAGCGGAGCGGTCTGGAGCCACAGCGGAGGATGTATGCTTTGCTTTGTGCAGGCGGTCTGGAGCGGAGTATGTGGGTTTTCGGGGTAAAACTCCTCTTGGACGCGATGGCGACTCTGCAGTCGAACAAGACGAACTCAAAGAAGAGATGCTAGTGGGATGCTAGAGTAGCCTAGCCTAAAGCTACGGCTAATAGTAGCCTTGCAAGAACAAGCTTTATTAAAGTGTATTTTTTGTGATTCACAGGAAGCAGTACGCCGTCTTCACAACTCGGAGACTAATTGCAGGCGCTATGAACCGGAGCAAGGGTAAGATTTAAAGAATATGCTTTCATTCTGTGGTAAAAGGAAATAGATACGGATAGATACCGATCATAGCTGTACATTTTGTTTTCACAGACTACTGTCGCCTCACAATGAGGCGGTGACCTCCTATTTTCTCTGAGCCATATCAGCAAGTCCAGATTTGCACGATGTTGATAAAGACGACATTGTGTGTAAGTGACTTGTTTTAATGTTTTCTCCTTCCTTGTTACTGTGACTTGCGTTTGATTTTTTATTCATACCACTCTCATTTAATTGTTTTCCAGCTGCCTGTAAGACGTATTTTGAGACGGTACGCAGGAGCTTCAGATATACGCAGCCAGCCAACACGTTGCGTGCGGAGGCTGCCAAGCAATCTGCTCGGAGTTGGGCTAGAAGAAAGAGGGTAAGACTTTATTTGGTGACTATTTTTCAGGTGCATTGATAGATGTGTTGTGTCCATATGCAGTGCGCTGATTCACTGTTTTTTTTCAGCTGCTGAAAGCGAGGCAGAGTGTGCTAGCAGATGAGGAAGTGGAACTGTGGAAGTCCGCCACCGTCGACCTCATGTCCGACGAAGAAGATGGCGTCGTTGGCGGTGTCTCTGAATGGATTGTACGGTCGCCGCCGGGTCTCACTGAACTCTGTGTTAAGCTGCAGTCCCGGTTAGAAGCGATGCCGAAGTACAGGGCCTCGCACAGTAGGCGTCTGCACATCGGACCTGCCTCGGAGGGAATGCTGCCAGTTACCTCCAACCCTGAGGAAGCAAACGGACCGTTCACGGACTTGTAATTTTTAGATACGCATGTGTTTGGATACGCGTTGTATATAGTTGTGTGTGTTTCAATAAAGCTCTTTCTTTGCATAAACAGCTTCCTGGCAAATGTTCATTTCCTGTATAAATTCATTCATGTCCTTGATGGTAGCCTAATAATTGTGTAGTAGTGTAGGATAACATAATGAATGAATAAATATGTATTCATATATATATATATATATATATATATATATATATATATATATATATATATATATATATATATATATATGTAAATTTATATGTAAATATATATATATGCCAACCAATCACGAGCGACTTTACTTGTTTAAAAAGAAGTGGTTCCCTCCAATACTCAGTAAGAAAATTAAAGCCTGGCGTGGCCACGTGTGGTTTTGCTGCCAATCACGAGCGATTTCACTTGTTTGTAAATATTGGTTTCAGCCAATACTGAGTAGGTTATTCAAGCCAGACCTGGCCAGCCGTGCGGGTTTGCTGCATTCATATGCTAATTAGGGCCATTAGTACAGCTGATCGCTCTCCACATACGTCAGAGTCCGTTTCCGACAGTTTGTGGCACGACAAACGCGGACAAGCGCGGGTTGCAAATTGTCGGAAACTGACGAAAATCAGGGAGATCTGCGGGAGTTTACGGGGACGAAAATCTCACTTTCATGAAGTGTATGCGCCTTATAGTCATGAAAATACGGTAAACTAAACTTAATTATGAGTTTTTTCAAGCTGAGGGGAAGAATTTATATTAAATTCTTATTTTATGTTTACTTTTTTATTTTTTTTTTAGAGAAGACAATTTACCTAAAAGTCATGTTTTTGGACTATGGGAGGAAGCTGTAGTACCTGGAGAGAACCCACACATGCACAGGGAGAACATGCAAATACCATGTAGAAAGACCCTTGGGCGGGAATCGAACCAGGAACCTTCTTGCCGCAAAGATGTGCTACCCACTGCCCACTGTGATGCCCACATTCGATATCAACTTCTATTTTTCATGTTTCAACTTTAATTTCTTTAGTTTCAACTAAGATTAATACTTTTACAAACATTTTAACCCTTTTCTGACATGTGGACCTGTTTCTCCTTTCTGAGGAGACTGTTTTGTTATTTGGTTTTATCACAAAATGAACATAAAAATGGGTATACACCCCCCCTCCTAAAGAAAATATTCCATTTGATTACTGAATTTATGCAAACTACATTGAAAACTAAACAGAAACAAAGTCCAAGTCTTATACTAACAAGAAAGAAGCGTGTTCTTCATTCAAGCAGTATTTATTTATCTTTGCAAGGAGAACAGACATTCTTTGCCAACATTTTGCCCTTTCTAATTGGACAAAGGACTGCACTAATTACTTAAGAACCAAAAGAAAAACAGGAATGGGTTTCAAACATAAAGTAGAGCTTGTCACAAACAGAAGGACTGTTAAAATAACCTTGAATTTTAAAGGAGTGGTGTTTCTTATCCTAACATCAAACACTAAGAGGAATATAATGTAAAATTAGTTTTCCCATAACAAAATATTTTTGATACTTTATTAAAAATAAAATTATTCATTCGAATGAGTTTTGTATATTAGTATAATGATAAAGTATTTTTGACATAATTATTACACTTGTTTAATATTATGAATAAATGAAATAAGAAATATTAACAAAATTTATATATAGCCAATGAGATCTAAAGGTAGATAAAAGACATGACCTTCAACACAAAAAATGTAGAACTTTTCACTAAGTCACCCATGTGCTCATACTGTTTATTTCATTTTTCAGCAGTACCATACCTCACCTGACAACTTTTTCAAGCTATGCTAATTGTGTTTGTTTTTTTACACCGTACCCTTTAATTTCTACAAATAACTATTAAAGAGCGATAAGGGCGGCTTAGACTTCGTCCATGCATTTTGGTCCCAGTAAACAACACACCCCGCCCCCACACACAAACCAAAAAAACCCATGCAACTTTTTTTCCCTAAAAAGAGAAGCAAGCTCACACTGCAGAGTCACAGCTGTAATTTAGCTAAAAAAATGTTATGAACAGTTTAACAGTCTTAATACTTAGTTACGTAAAAGAAGTCAGCCTGCCGTAATATAAAAAACCATGTCTGGTTATGCAGATCCCAAGGATCATCATTAGCTTATGGGGCAATATTTGACATTCCATTTTTCTTTCAAAGCTGCCAGTTCTTCTTCTTGCTTTTTCCTCAGACTTTCCAATTCTTTGTTAAGTTTTTCTTTTTCCTTAAAATCTTCGTCCTTTCTTGATAGATCAGCTTTTAGATACTTCTCTGTCTGTGTTTTGAGATCCTTTAGCAGTTTATATTCTTTACTATGTGCCTTTTCTTTTGCCTGCAGTTTTTCCTCATTGGCTTTTTTCAGATCATTGATTTCTTTATCGTGTTTCTTATTTAGAGCTTCAAATTCTTCCTTGTATTTCTCTCTGAATGTATTGAATTCTTCTGCTTGCTTTCTGGCATCTGACTCATATTCCTTCTTCATTTCATCAATTTTCTTCTTATATTTTTCCTCTAATTCTTTTTTCTCTTTCTCCTCTTGTTCCTCTCTCTTTTTATCATTTTCTTTTCTTTTTCTCTCATATTCGTCTCGTTCTCTCTCAAAATTCTCTTGAAGCTTTTTCAGGTTTTGGCGTTCTTCTTGCCGTCTCTCTTCATCCTCTGTCTGTCTCTTTTCCCACCACTCCTTCTTTTCCTTCTCCCAGGCTTCTCTTTTTTTTTCTGTCTCTTTTCTCATCTCTTCCAATTTTTTGTCAATCGTCTCCTTTTCTGTTGATTCTGACAGAATTTTTCTTTCTAAATCTTCCCGTTCTTTTTCCCACTGTTTTTGTTGGTGTTCTTCCTCCTCTTTTCTTTTCTCTTCTTCTTCTTCTCGGATTTCCTTTTCTTTTTCTCTTTGCTTTCGCTCTTTCTCAATGTTGTCCTCCATTTCTTTAAGCAGTTCAGCTTTCTGTTTTCTTTCTTTCTCCATTTGTTCTCTCTGTTCTTCCATTCTTCTTTTGATTTCTTCTTTTTCTTTCAGATGTTTTGCTTCAAGTTCCTCCTTCAGTTTTTTCATCTCTTCTTCCTTCTCCTTAAGAATTCTTTTCATCTCTTTCTGTATTGCAGCCTCTGCCTCCTTCAGCATCTCGTTGGTGTAGAAGCTGCCACCATTTTCCTTTACCATTTCGTCGATCTTTTTGATCAGCTTACTAACTTGTGAGCGATTCTTTTTTTTGCTGTAATTAAACACATGGTATCTCCCTCCACAGTCAGCAATCAACTTTTTACATGATTCCTGACAATCTTTTTTCAAATAGTCTTCCATGGACTTCTCTTCTTCTTCTAAATCATCTCCATTAGTGAAAAGAATTAAAGTGAACTTTTCTGAATCTTTACCAAAAACCTTCTTAATAAGTTTCAATGTCTCATTTTCTTGATCTGTGAATCTGCCAATCTGTATCACCAGCAGGAACACATGTGGACCTGGAGCCAAGAGGCTTATACATTTGGCCATCTCTTCACCAACTTCCTCATGTGACAAAGTGTCATCAAACAGACCAGGGGTGTCAACAACAACAACAGAACGTCCATCAACTTCACCCTCGCTTTTTTCACAATTTTTTGTCACTGACTGTTGAGCTGCCTTGGCCTCAAACTCTTTTCTATTCAAAATTGTATTTCCTGATGAGCTCTTTCCACAACCGGTTTTCCCGATAAGAACGATCCTGAGGCACCCAGGTCCCTGCTCTTTTTCTGCCTCTGTGTAAGAACAACAAAAACAGTTTATTAGTAAACATATTACCTAACATTTGTCCACATGTTACACGCAATAGCCTAGGCAAGTTTATTTGTATTGCACAATTCAGTACAAGGACAATTTGAAAGTGCAATTTGAAACACATTAGACAATAAAATAGAAGAAAAATAAAAGCAAAGTAAAAGTGAATAATGACAAAAGCAGGTATTAAAACTAATTTTAACTGCTGGACCGCAACCTTAAACTAATAAAAAAAACAACAGTCAAAGGCAATTTTAAACAAATTTGCTTTTAACTTTGACTTAAAAGAACTCAGGCTTTAAGCACTTTTATAGTTTTTGGCAGTTTGTTCCTGATTAGTGGAGCAAAGGAACCAAATGCTGCTTCTCAGTGTTTGGTTCTATTTCTGGGTGAACAGAGTAGACTGGAACTAGAAGACCTGAGTGGTCTGGGAGGTTTATACGCTGACAACAGATCAGTTATGTGATAAGATGCGGATCCAGTAAATGATTTTAATGCATTTTGGGCATCAAAGTGACTGATTCACATGCAAAGTCTAAGGGAAATGACGTCAAGAGGTCCAGTGGCACAACTGAGCATTGGCAGCAGCCCATCTGAGCGTTATGGCATCTGAGAGTTGGAGTGTGTGGAGTGTTCGAAAATTGAACTTTTGCTCAGTTATCAGCGAGGAGCTCGGTTTGGAGTTGTTGCTCCTCTAGTTCGAAAAGAGCTAGCTGAGTTGGCTCGGGCATCTTTTAAGATGCCTCCTGGTCGCCTCACTTGGGAGGTGTTCCAGGCATGTCCAATTGGGAGGAGGCCTCGTGGAAGGCCCAGGACATGTAGGAGGGACTATGTCTCTGAGCTGGCTTGGACCCCCCCAGAGCAGCTGGAGGTGGTGTGTGTGGATCGGGAAGTCTGGAATTCTTTGCTTAGATGGCTGGCTCCGCTTTGTTTAGAAACAAAGAAGCAGTTTGTTTAGCATTTTAAAGTCAGGACTTTTATGTGTAGTGGGCTTAAGGTTAAAATCGGGCTTAAGGTTAAAATCAGTTAAAATCGATTGTAATGAACATTAATTGCCTTAGTTTTCTAACAGTATAGGTAGAACATAAAAGTTATTGCACAGATAAACAGAAATAATATATAGAAAGTAAATGTTGCTAGTTACGCTTTTACCTCTGTTTGTGGTCCTTCTGAGCTCCTTCAGTTCAGCCTGTAGCTGTGATTTTTCCTCTAGTTGTCCACATGCTAATGTTACAAGTGTAAAGCTGTATGGATTCTTTCGGTCAGAAACAGTCTTCTCCACCCTCTCCAGCAGGTCTGGTATCTTCTTCCTGTCCTTAATGTTAAGAACAAAATATCTTCCTCCACAGCTTTGACAGAGCTCCTGGATATCCTTGTTCTCTCTTACAAAGTTTACAACAGCTGGAGCTGTAGGATCTGAGTCCACAGTGAACAGGATCATGGTGAAGTCATTGACTCTAGAGCTGAATGTGTCCTGGATGGTCTGTAACTCTCCCTTGTCTTCATCAGTGAGGGGACCCACAGGTAGGACCAGGATGAAGGCGTGGACACCCTCAGGATCACAGAGGGAGATACACCTGAATGATTCCTCCATCACTTCCTCCTGAGCTTTTCCAAACAAGGCAGGCAGCTCCACCACAGAAACCCAACGTCCACGAACCTCTCCCTGGTTTCTAACACACTGTGAGGAGTTGGAGGCTGAAGGAAGATCTGTCTGACCTAGAATGGCCTTGGCTACTGAGGTCTTCTCTTCTCTTCTCCCCCCACACAGAACCAGGTTTAGGGGAGGTTTGTTGTATTTTAATTCTGTTTCTCCAGTCAGGTTGAGGAATTTTCCCGGGTTCTTTTTCATGAGATCCTCAATGCTTTCCATCAGTGGTCCCACAGCCCCTTCAGTCATGTTGTAGTGCCGTCCCTCACAGTCTTTAAGGAGGTCATTGACAGAAACAGTAATTTCGGTCAAATGTGTCATGACAATTATTGAATATTTTAAGGCATCTTGACCAAATAAACTCAGGAGGAACTTCAATGTTTTTCTGTCCTTCTCGTTGAATTCTGAGGGTTTTATTAACAGAAGCAGAACATTTGGTCCAGGAGGAAGGACACTTTGAAAACATTGAATTTCTTCTACGACAGCCTCTGTGGCCATACTGAACATGTCAGGAATTTTCACTACTGTTACTTTTCCTGCTTTCCATTTTCCTGTGAAGATGGTGGAGCGTAATCCCTTTGGTTGGTAACCTTTTTCCATCCCACTGATGAGCTGAGTCAGCTTTGTCTTTTTATCCCCACTTCTTCCTATCAGAAAAATTTTCAAAGAAACTGCAAAGCAAACAAAAAAAAGTTTCTGCATTTAGAAAGTATTCTTATTGTAGTGCTCAGAAAAGAGTAAAATGCTACATATCCTAGGAGAAATACCATGGCATTTAACTGTCTACAGTAGATATAAGATATTTTTTAACATAAGTACAGCTGAGCATACACTACGATTTTTTGCCCTTTTCGGGCCAACTTTCCAGTCGTGCGAGAACTTTTCGATCGGGCCAACTTTCAGCCTGATCGCGCGGGGTCGGGAAAAAATTAAACATGTTTGAAATTCAGTCGGCCGTCATGTGCAAATCGCTCAGTGGGCATGCGCAAACAAAGAGTCTTCTTCTTCTTCCTCTCACATGAAAACAGAAGCATGGCGTGGGTATGAGTGAAATTAAGTTCTTTCTATAGAATTGACAGACTGTATTAGCCACGTTTGCTGTGAACTCACACTGTACAAATAAAGTCTGCAGTTTCATAGCACAGTGTATGCCTGGCTTAAGCTTTCTTAAAGGCTGAAATTCTTGTGGATTGACTAGTTTGATTTATCTCAACTCAGTTTACTCTGAACAGCAGCTTTTAAATAAGGATTAAGGAAGCATTTCAACGTGTTTGACAGGTTAAAGCAAATCAGACTTTCACCTTTGCAACTCGGGATGTGACCTCACCAGCAGAACAGTGAAGCCAGCAGTGCCAACCTGGGCATCTGCTCTGTGTTGACACATGATGGTTAACTTAGTGACTGACAATAAATTATAATTCTTATAATGGAAAATGTAAATAAATTATGATATTTTTCATTATATAAATGGTAAATGCATATAAAGCTGATAAACATAACCCTCCAGAATCTTTGCAGTATAATTAGGTGTGTTTTTTGTTAGTCACTCACATGACCTACAAGCTCAGGGAAGAAGAATTTCATTTTGATAAAAAAAAAGAGAGGAATGATAAAAATTGAAAGAAATTATTTAAAGCTAGAAATTCATAAATAACATGGAAATAAAATTGTGGTTTGGTATTAATCTTTTGTAAAGTGGTTAGAAGACATTTAAGTTGTAAGTATTTGCTTATTACGAGTTTTTGAGGACAGGTGAGGCTCTGCATTTGTTTTCTACCAAGCATCCTATTCCACTGGGAGTGTTTCAGAGCCGAGGGCATTTTTTTTTCTTTTCTTCGCAGTGACTGTGTGTTGTTGAGTTGGGGCACTAGGGTGGGAACGCATGATTGAGACTGTGTATATTTTTTTCTTTTTTTTTACTTTTCAGGTTCGGGTCTGAACTGCTCCCTTTCTCAAGAACATCTCAAGTCTCCGCTAAGTGCGGAGCCCATTCCCCCCATCCTGCCCCCCTCCGCTGGCTAGTGCTTGAGCTCACTGGTGCACTGGTGGTGCTCGATGTTTGGAGGCGGATGCCCAGGCGGGTACTGGCTTAATCCTGGTGGCTGATCTACGGGGCCTAGCCCCCCGTGCCCCTGGGGCCGTGGGTCTCTGGGGCCCATTGCTGGATCCACTTCAGGGTGGCTGGCTGCCGGCGGAGCAAGCAAACTCCTCCCCACGGCTCCTGGGGGCTCCAGTATTGTGGTGGCTGGGGTTTTCCTCAGGGCCGTATCTCCTCCTCCTTTGGTGGGGGGTCGGATTTCCTGGGTTGGCCCCTCCTGGGCGCCTCTGCTCTTGGAATCCCTTTGGGTGTCTGGGGCTTTGGTTTCCCCGGTGCTCGCCTCAATGCTCTGGAGGGGCGTGTCTCCGGCTCTTCACAACCACTATTGAGGATTTTTCCTTTGGAAAAACTTTACATGCACAAGTGCACTCTCACACACAACAACAGCTTCTTGGCTCCAGGTACTTACATTCAAAAAAGCCCATATTCTTATTTTCAGCTACCACAGTATACATGTCAGATTAAATAATACAGGGTTGTACTGTATTAGGATGAAATGTAATAGGATGAAACCTGAGCAGAGATCCGACTAATGGTGCCTACACCTGTGAAGATATGATATGAACTTAGCCTCTACTATATTCTCGTACTCGTACTCGTCGTCTCCCGCTTTATCCGGAACCGGGTCGCGGGGGCAGCAGGCTAAGCAGAGACTCCCAGACTTCCCTCTCCGCAGACACCTCCTCCAGCTCTGTTGGGGGAAGCCCTAGGCGCTCCCAGGCCAGCCGAGAGACATAGTCTCTCCAGCGTGTCCTGGGTCGTCCCCTGGGCCTCCTCCCGGTGGGACATGCCTGGAACACCTCCCGAGGGAGGCGTCCAGGGGGCATCCGAAGAAGATGTCCGAGCCACCTCAACTGACTCCTCTCGATGTGGAGGAGAACCGGCTCTACACTGAGCCTCTCCCGAATGACCGAGCTCCTCACCCTATCTCTAAGGGAGAGCCCAGCCACCCTGCGGAGAAAGCTCATTTCAGCCGCTTGTATCCGGGATCTCGTTCTTTCGGTCATGATCCAAATTTCATGACCATAGGTGAGGGTAGGAACGTAGACCGACCGGTAAATTGAGAGCTTTGCCTTTTCGCTCAGCTCTCTCTTCACCAGGACAGACCGGTGCAGCGTCCGCATTATTGCAGCAGCCGCACCGATCCGTCTATCGATCTCCCGCTCCATTCTTCCCTCACTCGTGAACAGGACCCCAAGATACTTGAACTCCTCCACTTGAGGCAGGGACTCTCCTCCAACCTGAAGGGGACAAGCCACCTTTTTTACTATATTCTTTGTATATTTAATTGCTCTTATATGACTTACCATCTGTGACAGTAGAGACAAGACCAAAGGTTGTTTTTTGTCTCTGGTTCTGATCATTTTCCCTTTGGTTAGATGGTGTTTCCTCAAACGCTTCATAACTCACATATTGTCCATCATTCTCTTTCACAATTTGAGAAAAACGACTCAGCAGCGTATGATCCATGTCTTCTTCCTTTAGAGCTCTAAATTTACACTTTTCGATCAAGTCTATCAATAATGGATTGTCTGTGTATTTTTCTTTTAAAGGTGAATTATCTTGTTTTCTTGTCATGATAAGTAAAAATGAATAATGAAATGATTGATCATTAAAGTGATCAAGAACTTTAAAGATCATGTCTTTATCTCTCTCATTTAGATCTTCAGGGTGCACAACCAACACAAACACATGGGGTCCAGGATCAGAGGCCTTTGCACAATCTTTGACAAACCCTGTAAGACTTTCCTGTGTGGAGAACTGTAGATCTGGAGTGTTGATGACCGTTACTTTTTGTTCTCCCACTGGCTCACTGACTCTAAAAAAGGTTTCAGGTATTTTACTAAAAACATCATTTCCGAGTATAAACTTCCCCACGAAATTCCTCTGAGTCCATGAGCCACCCAGCAGAACAACCCTCAGGTCTGACACTGAAAAAAAAGACAGAAAAAATAAAGTGAATTAAAAAGCAGTCTGTTCATATCAAAACATTTTCCTGCTCAGTAAAAATGGGACCTGGTCGGAGCTAATACCAATGGCAGTATTCAACAGGCATTGTTTAAGTCAGTTCCACTACATTTATTTGCAGCTAGGAAAGCCAAAAGCAGACTTAACCATTTCAGGGCACTAGGCACACTTTTGACAGCTTTGAATACAAAAATGCCTTCTTGGGAACTGTCGATCAATGAACATGTGGCTATTTATGCTTAATTGAAAATGGGTGATCCTTTGGAATCAGCAATGCTGCTGCACTATGTACTGTAGGAGGTGTGGCTCTCAGCTTCCTCAAGGAGGGGATGAAAAAAGTAAAATATCCTCTAACTCCTGAATGAAGCTGTAATATGTTAATAGAAAAAATCTTTTAAAGTTCTACATTGGTTTCAGCATTATGCCATTTGTTATAAATTGTGCTTAAAAAATATGTTTATAACAGCTTTATTTTACTTTTTTAATGTCTGATAATGTCATGATGCGATGGTTTTACTAGCCCAGATGCAGAACTCACAGACAGAGAGGCAGGGAAAAGTCCAGTATTTTATTGGAACCGGTTGACAGACTTACAGGTTGGCAGATTCAGACAGGCATGGTGGCACAGGAAACACAACAATCCAGCAAAGAGGGAAGCTAACACTCAGCTTATAAAGGCAGAGCTTCCTTAATAAGCAGAATGGAAAACAGCTGTCCATGCTGAGTCCAAGCACCCCAGGCATGGATCCACGGCGCCCTCTGGTGGGCAAAGCCCCGGATCCTAACAGTACCCCCCCCTCAAGGGCGGATTCCAGACGCCCCAAAGAAAAAAAAACAACAACTCGCACATGGAGGGCGAAGGGCGAACCAGGGAAGCCAGGAAGAGTCTCAGGTGGCCGGCCATTGAACTGGCAGCAGAGCAGAGTCTCAGAAGCTGCAGGGGCCTAGGAGGAGGGCGTCACCTCCGCTTCAGCAGGAAGCACCGGGAGAAACACTGTCTCCGCTTCAGCAAGAAGCCCCGAGAAGGACGCCGTCTCCGCTCCCGCTGCTCTGCAACAGGCTCAAAACAGGTCCGCCCACTACGGCTCCACATCCAGAGCAGAGGAAGCCGCTGACTGCGGTTCCGCATTAGGAACAGAGGAAGCCACCGACTGTGGCTCCACCTCAGGAACAGAGGGAACCACCGATTGTGGCTCTACCTCAGGAACAGAGGGAACCACCGATTGTGGCTCCACCTCAGGAACAGAGGGAACCACCGATTATGGCTCCACCTCAGGAACAGAGGGAACCACCGATTGTGGCTCCACATCCGAAGTCTCTGGAAGACGCAGAGCAGGCTCAGGGGTCTCCAGACGGCACAGAGCAGGCTCAGGGGTCTCCAGACGGCACAGAGCGGGCTCAGGGGTCTCCAGACAGCACAGAGCGGGCTCAGGGGTCTCCAGACGGCACAGAGCGGGCTCAGGGGTCTCCAGACGGCACAGAGCGGGCTCTCCAGGAGCACGTAGAAGGAGTCTTCTGGGCTAGTCTGTTGGCTGGATTGTTCTGTCATGATGCGATGGTTTTACTAGCCCAGATGCAGACTCACAGACAGAGAGGCAGGGAAAAGTCCAGTATTTTATTGGAACCGGTTGACAGACTTACAGGTTGGCAGATTCAGACAGGCATGGTGGCACAGGAAACACAACAATCCAGCAAAGAGGGAAGCTAACACTCTGCTTATAAAGGTAGAGCTTCCTTAATCAGCAGAATGGAAAACAGCTGTCCATGCTGAGTCCAAGCTCCCCAGGCATGGATCCACGGCGCCCTCTGGTGGGCAAAGCCCCGGATCCTAACAGATATGACTTTACTTTTTTAACGTCCGAAACTGATATGAAGAGGACTTTGTTGAATCTTAGTCAGTTATATCCTGAAAACATTAATTTATTTCATCTATGATCAGAGCTTTTATCTTTAATCATATGAACATGGTCCTTCTGTTGGAAATGCTTTGCTTTACTGCCAACCTTCTAACTGTTCATTAGCTTAAGGAAAAACTATTAAGTCATTCATTAATTCTGTCAAAATTTTTGAAAAATCATCTGACAAAGAATCCAGTTTTTTAATACTAAACATGTGGATGATTAGTGAATTATTTATATGTTTGTAAAGAAAAAGCTCCTCAGGTTGAAATATCACATAAAGCCTCATCCTGCACATTTTTTGGACCCTCATTTTTTGTCTTTACCTGTGTTTTTTTCTGCAGTGAGCCTAAAGAACTTGTCATATTCCGTCACGTGCTTATTTTTAAATGTAATCGTTTATTCCTTTTACGGATGCATTTTTACGTGTTTCAACTCTGGCCAATTTTTCCCATTGCAAGCCATACACTTCAGTTTACTCTCAAATCACAAACATTCCACAACAGTGCAGAGGACTTCCTGCTGCGCTTGTGCACTGTGCAGGGAGATTATCTGCAAGCAGGGGCACTGCAGACTACAAGGTAAGAAATACATTTTGATCCCTTTATTCTGCTAGTTTACTACTGTTCCTAGAATTTCAAAAAGTAGAAAGGGAGGCAGATTGTTTAGTTATCAGTCTCCTCTCCTATAGAACCAACTACCAGTTTTAGTCAACTCTCTACACCTTGTCTACTCTTATTGTTAGAGTGGCTTAGGTTATCCTAAGTATTAATGTAGGTAAGTAATGTTTATTTATATAGCACCTTTCACAGACATAGAGGTTACAAAGTGCTTCATAAAATTACAATACAAATGAAAATACATTTACCGTAAAAAATCATAGTAAGCTCAAAGAAAGGGGAAAATCATTGCAGAGCACCGGCGCAAGGGCCTGAAAAGAGTGATCTCCCCTGGTCCTGTAATGAGTATGAGGGACCATGAGCAGGTTCAGGTCCTGAGACCTAGGCGTCCGAGAGGGCGGTTAAGGACACAACAAGTCTCTAGGAGTGAGCCTGACTGGTAACGGCCCTGAAGGTCAGCACCGAGATTTTAAACTGGAACCAAAAAGAGACTGGGAGTGAATAAAGAGCTTTTAGAATCGGCGTAATATGAGCCCTTCTGTTTATACGAGTCAGTGAACTCACCGCAGTTTTGAACCTGCTGAAGACGAGACAGCTCCTTTTTGTTGAGACACAGTCAGAGAAACAGGACTACTACAGAAATACTACAAAGCCATATAGTTATGCTGCTATAGTCTTAGACTGCTGGAGAACATAGGGACCCCTTTTCATTATTCTGTTATTATGCTCTCTCTGATTTTTCTCACAGTAGCTACAGTATATTTGATCTGTTCCTCTTTGGCTGTGACTCCTTAATCATGGAGAGAAATATCAGTTGCGCTCCTACCACCAACATGTTTTTTTTATATCTTTTAGAGCTTGACCTGTTTTTCAGTGTAGTCCTGTTTCTCTGACTGTGACTGGCAGGATGTGCTCTCTTTCATCCTCTGACATGGGAGCTGGCTCTGAGCTCATCTGCCTGGCTGTGTGTTTCCTGGAGGGGGCCGCCTGTGGAGCTGGTTTACATTTACTGTTGTATGTCTGCTTCTTTTTTTGCATCTACTTCAGTCTCCCTGAAACCTGGTAAACCTCAGCACAGTCTGGATTGCCTGAAGGTTTCTTCCTGTTCAAAGAGAGTTTTGCTCTCCAGTTTTGCTACAAGCATTCTTGATGTGAGGGATTGTTGTTGAACTATTTCAGTAAAGTGTCTTGAGATGATGTGGTGTAAATTGTTGCTATATAAATAAACTGAATTTAATATAATGTTGTATTTAGAGCTATGAGCAGAAGCACTAAAGTTACTATTGTTATTAGTCTAAGGAGTATTCTTTGAGTAACATCAGTTCTCACTACCTGTGAAAACATCAGGGATATTACTTAAGAAATGCTGGAGACTAACAGGGTTCTTCAGCGTGTTGCTGCCATCTGTTGTTCACTACAATCTCATTTCAACCCTCTATTGCTGCAGTCACTTTTGAAACTAATGTCTATCTCTACAATCACTAGTATGTCAGCTATGTGCTGCTATGTGATACTTGTTTGAGTAAACCTCCACCTCACATCCTGCTGCACTGACAGATATTTGGATGTAGCTAATGTCATTTCTGGGGTTAATGCATATTTTTGAATGCCATCACTGCAAAAACGATCTAGAAATAAGTAAAAATTTCTTAAATTAAGTGTATTCACCCTTAATTTGAGCAGGTAAATGAGATGGTTTGCCAATGGAATGAGTAATTTTACTCTTAAAATAAGATAATTAGATAATATGCACTTGAAATAAGACAATGCAATTGCGTTTTCTTATTTTAAGTATAAATTGTCTTGTTCCATTGGCAAAATGTCTATTTTACCTCCTCAATTCAAGAACAAATGCACTTATTTTAAGAAAAAATAACTTATCTAGATTTAGATTTTTTGCAGTGATCTATAAGTTTTCTTTTGTGAATTTTGGGGCTCTTCCAAAAACAACCTGGGTCTCAGCAAGTTTGGTGACATATAAATAGTTTTTTTGTTGTTGTTGTTTTTACCTTTTTATCCTTTCTCCATCTGTCTTTTTTTCTGATATGCCCTTCTGTTTCTCACAGTGGATTTTCGGATGTTTTATGACATGAAAAGGATCAGAAGGTCTTGGTATATGGAAAGTGGGGAGCAGATGTTAATGGTTTACTACGTTATGATTTATTTTTCATATTGCTTTGATGGTAAATTTTATGTTAAACACAAATACGTATGTTAATATGCATAAATATTCCAGGGCCATTGTTATGAAGATGGGAAAACAGCCATTGCTGGATGGGGCCCTGTGATGTAACATACCTGATTCTGCAGCTGCCATGATGTCACTAGGCACACCAGATGAATTCAGAAAGAGCCAAGTCTGTTTAAGAACATAAAATTAAAATAACCAAAGGTTTAGAAACAATTTGATAAATTGACAGACATATGATGTAAATAAAAAGAAGCCTACAACCCAACTGCATTTATATCAAATCTAGGAATAAAATTACAGACATTAGTAACATAAAAAAAAAAAACTGATGTCACAAAACAGCATAAATATCTGAAAATCTGAGTGAAAGGGAGACCTAAGATTATTCCATGTTAATAACGGTAAAAAAAAACAATCATAATCAAATGGGCTTAGATAAACCTGCTAAACAGGATTTGGTTTACAGGAAATTAGACAAAAAAAGGAAAACATCAGGGTGTGGTCACTGAATAGAAAAGACCTTTAGTTTCAACTTTGTTCAGACAGCTTTCTACAGGAATGACGAAATTAAACTATACATAAAAAAAAAAGATATGATATAACCACTGGAAAATTATGATGTCTGTTAAGCCTTATAACATATTTAGCCTAAACTTTGTTAAAAAATTTACCTGACTTCCTGGTTCTGCTCAATTCGGAGTTATGTATGAAGTTATGTAATCTCGGTCAATTTTTTTTACTTCCGCTTTAACTTAAATTCCCTTTCAATATCTGTGTCCGAGCTGAAATCATTTTAAATCCGGTCAGTTGTATAATAGTTTAATTATCAGGATTTTATTTTATTTTCAGAGCAGGTCTGGTACAGTAGATCCTACCTAAAGAAAAAGAAACTAGTTTATTCTAAATGAATTATTACCTGCTATGTTCTGTGATCAATTTACAATAAAACACTCAGTATCCCAACCATTTAACCGAGCACTAGTTAAACAAAAAAAAAAAATCAAAATATTTTTAACTACTTACCGTGTTGTAATCCATCCCCAACCCATCACATAAATGAAAGTGAAAGAATGATGAACACCACTGGTTTTATTTGCTCGTGTATGTGGGTGGGACTGAAACTCAGTCTTGGCAGTCAGATTGGATCTCACCCTAGATGTTAAACAACCACAACACATGTTGTTATCTGTAACTAGCTATTTTAAGAAAAAAATCAATGGAAAAAGAAATCTGTGTTTTGTTTTTTTCTCAGGTGATAGATGATAAAAAGAGTAATGCCACAGCAGTGGGCTGTAGGGGAGACAGGGGGTAGTTATCATGCTGAGATGTTTTCTTCCTTTATGTGGTAAGATCTTATGGACTAACTGAGCAGAGGGCGACGCATTGTAAGTTTAGATGAGCACCAATTCAACATTTTCCAAGAGTAAAAAAATATAAACTATATTTTTTTTAAATAAGCTTAATTCAGATAAAAAATCTAACAGTTATACACAGAGCCGCTGGAAGTAATTTTCAACAGGGGGCGCTGTGAAAATTTCTTTTTTTTTTTGTTCAAAAGACCTATGTGCCTAAAGGTCTATTTAAAATACAATGAAAATAAATAAGTAAATAGAGTGAGGTTCTCTATTTTATTGTCATATACATTTCAGTGCATGCAACCAGGGTCTGTAACACACAGACATCTTCAGTTCTCAGGTGAATATAGTATTAATTAAACTTCACCAGTGGTGTCAAAAGTACACACATTTGTTACATAGGTAGAAGTGTATATACTGCAGTTTAAAAACACTCTGGTAAAAGTTGAAGTATCAACTTGACCTCTTTACTCAAGTAAAAGTGAAAAAGTATGTGCTGCAAAAACTACTTAAAGTATAAAAGTATAAGGTAACCTTAAGAAAACAGCCACATACCACTATATGAATTGAAAGCTCAATTTTTCAAATATTTTGAAAATTTCTTTGAGATAGGGCCAAGGATGAGGGAGGTCTTGTTGGTCTCCGTCTCCCGATACGCTCTCGCCTGTGTCCGACATTTCAGACATTTCAACATCTTTTTCTGAATTCCACATTGTAGCATGGCATAGACAATTTGCAGTTTGAAGAACACCTGCTTGCTTCTGATGATTTCCTTTAGTTAACCAGTGAGTGTTTGCGTTATATGACTCATCTAGTTACACTGGTTTTCATTAGATGTGGATGGAGCCAATGATCTGCATTGGATGGAGCACAATACGTGAATTAAATATTTATAAACATTAAACCAGGAGTAACCAATTAAAAATCAGGGGAGTCCGAATAAAGAAAATCATCGACCAGTAAAGGTCTGGAGACATTTTTAATAATCTGTTACTTTAAACAGAATTTAACACTGAAATAAACTGAGGTGTTTAATCATCCATGTTTTACATTGAATTTGTAAATGAAAAAAAAAAAAAAAATGTAATGAGTAGAAGTCAGAAGTAGGAAGAAAAAAAGTAATGGAGGAAAGTATAGATACCTATAAAGTGTACTTAAGTACAGTAAAGAAGTATTTGTACTTTGTTACTTGACACTTCTGAACTTCACAATAACACCATAACAACGTAGATCGATCAGCTGGCATGAACCTGAGTCACTGTAATTATGTGACATGTGACTCTTAGCTACAAAATCCCTTTACACAAACCATAAGGAAATAATTTTATTATTACAATATTTAAATGTTATTGAAAAGGTCTACACATCAATTAAACAAAGAACACAAGTTTAAAATAACATTCTAAAATACTATGGTTACGTTAAACTGCATTAATAGATATGAAATTGCACGGCGGCACCAATGCTCTTAGTCTGAGCTACAGGGTGCAGGGTGCCCAGGTTACAGGTGTGCAAATGTTGAGGTGCACTCTGTGGTCGTGGAGATAAATGTCTCTCATAAGCGGATGAATTCGAAATAAGTTTCTGTGCCATATAGATTATGGCACAGAAACTTCATAAAGAGACGAATGAGGTGCACACAAGGACGATCAAACATTGAGAGATGCTCGTTTCCTCACAGCAGTGTTAACACAGATCATTATGAATAGCAGGGAGTGTGTGTGTGGGAGAATGAAGGTGTAGTAAATTTGTCAACCTCTCATTTTCTTAATTACTCAGGTTAAGCTTATTTATTTATATAGCACTTTTTGTGTAAGTAAAAACTCAAAGTTCTTTGTTCTACTACTGAATGAAAAGTACTTCAGGAATAAAATTTCATTGATTCATTCACTCGTTTATTTTTAAAAGCAGTATCTCACAGAAGAGAATAATGTAGATTACTGTGACCTGATTACAGCTGTGATGATAGTATGGTAGTCTAAAACCCCACTGTGTTATGTATATTGCTTTAGTGTTATAAATAAGTCAAAAATAAAAGTAACGACATTCCTACATTCACGCCTGTGTAATACAATTATGACATGATAGATGACAGAATTTAAACAATCTAGAACAACTTCATTTTCTTAATTTTTAAATTACAAAAAGCTCATAATAATAATAAAAATGTACGAAATTATAATTCAGTGAAATAAAATATTGCCTTACTATAAACAGTGGATCAAAATATCTGTTAACATGTGTAGAAGTGTTTTTGAACAGTAGAGAAAACATTTGATTGCAGTAATTCCCTATACGAATTTTAGCTGCACAGCCTCATATTTCATATGTTTGTTGTTAATATCTCTTTTGAATCACAATTCAAAATAAATGTCATGATTTTAATAAATTTTTTTATTGTAATTGCTTTTGTCAATTTCAACTTATTTAACTGACTTCTATTTCTCCCTTCTTTAATTGGAGGGTATGGATTATTTTGAGGAAAACTATCTAGACATGGGATCTGACAACTCTAATCTTGTGTTTTGTTTTACTGTAGATGCATTGGGGATGTATACATACAGTCTAAGAGGGAGAGACAAGACGACCCTTGTTGGGGTAGAAGTCTTAAGTAAACTTCAAAATGATAAGGTCTTTCTATGAAAATATTAGGTGTCTTCTACACAGCCATTTACCCTACATTTACAGTAGCAGTGATATGAAATATGGGAAAGTGTGCCAAAACATTTAATATAAAACGTAGGAATACAGTGAGAGATTAGTAAAATATTTGGAATATGCAGTGAATGTGGTAAATACACCTACTCCAAGATTACCCCTTAATAAAGATTTATACATAAGAAAAAAACATAAAATGATCATACCATTGCAAGCCATCAATGCTACTCAATGACTTTATTTTACACATAGCTTTTTGTGCATTATTTGATTGGATGCATTATTTAATTGGGTTTTCCTCACATATTTTTAAAGTAGGGTGCAAATATTTATATATTTTTAAATATATATGGTGGAATTAAATTGCCAAAATGTATTCCTGATTTTGTCACTAATAAAGATTTCCACATTATTATGTTCTGGTTTTGAATTTGCATATTAATTCTTCTGTCATTACACTGATGTTAAATGATTTGGCAAAAACATATTCCACATTATGGAGACAGAGTATCAGCTGTGGTCTTCTGTTGCATGAATCATCGCAGACATTCAGCAGAATCCAAAAGAAATGAGCTACTTGAAAAAATAAGAGAAAAGAGCTGTGCTCCAGGTAGTAAGTCAGGTAAAAGAATGTACACTTTAGAGAAACTTAGAGGAAATAAAAATGCAAAGAAATCTGCAAAGATGGTAGAACAGATCCAAGGTCTTTAGCAGGAAGAATCCAAAAGAAGTCCGAAAACAGGGCAGGCAAACTCAGAAGTCTGGGAGCAGAAACTATTCAGGATCAGGCAAGGAACACACTGCATATGCTGGAGAACTCTCACCCATGGCTCGAATAATCTGGCACATGGCTGGGAACAAGAAGTTTATATAGGAACTGGAACAGGTGGATCTGATGAGCGATGACGAAAACTGGTTGGAGCTAGACAGGTGGATGAAATTAACCATAATCCAGTCATCGGTGCCGAGATCATGACAAAATGTAGCAAGTGAAAACAAAATTGAGGATAATATTGGAGAGTATGGAGAAATACAATAAAACAAAGCAGTTCTTGAAGTCACATCAAAGAGTAAAAGAATTGATCAAGCGGAAGGCAGAGTCAGTGATGTAGCACAAAGTTTGCCTGAAGTACTGTAAATGATGCAGAAAGGCAGCGTGTCACCTATAGTACAATAATGGCGAAGAAACTGTTGGTATGCCATTTAATGTTTCAGCTAATTTAGATGACACTTGACCATGGGAGCCATCAAAGCCAAAGGTCATTATTGTGGTGCAATGTGGTAACTGCTTTTCTGACCTTCCAGCTGCTTTTCTTCACCCATATATTAGATTAAAAAAGAGGTCCACATTAAAAGGAAACTTCCTAATGGAGAGCTGGAACAGGGTGAAAGCTCAGGGAATTCTGGGGAGAATACTACAGCAAATCTACATTAACTAATGCATGAACTTTTAAGTTGAGTAATCAAAAGCAATTGCAAAAATCGTAGTAACATGTTGGATAACTGTCAGATATTTTTTACTCCTCCCACTACTATTCTTGGAAGAAACCTTGTATGGAACCATATACAGCAGTGTGAAAGAGAGCTTCTTGCAATATTTTTCAAAAGAAGAGGGGGAAACTCTGAAGCTTGCATTGAGTTACTTTGAGGCTGTTTAAAAATTGGGCCTTGTTGTCGTACCAGATGCACACAATTGCCAACAGTTTGCCACCAAATACAATATTGCTGGACTATTGTCACAATTCGGGCACAATAGCTTAATCCAGACACCACTGTTTGTTATTGAAAGCTGGAGGACAATCTTAAAAATCATGAAAGATACTTTGTTTCCACAAAAGCTTGTGGAAATACTGAAGGAATGAATTTCATCCCCAAAACGTGTTATGCAACCTCCAGTTTCCAGAAGAGATGATGACTGCCATTCAACGGCCAGATATCTACGGAGAGGTACATCAGGGAATCTGACAAAAGCTTGTTAGAGGCTTTTCTGTTTTTCTGCACAGGGGCATTCTCCTTGGGCAAAATAACGCTGTTCAGTTCAAAGGGATAACCTCATTCCAGTGTGGACCTCAAGCTCATAGCTGTTGGAGTTTGCTGATGTTGCCTGTGAGCTATCAAAACTACCCAGACCTCTGAACTGATTTTGACCTTGTTCTTTTTAGTGGAGTTTGGGTTATGGACATTATATAAAAACCTAGGATACACTAAAAGTGAAGGAACACCTCTCAAACGAACACTTGAGCCAATTAAAATCTGGCACACCTGAACAGCAAACCAATTCTTAAAAATATTTTGTTATATATTTCTGTTAAGTGAGAAGTACAAAATTATTCTTGTTAAAGGTATTGTGCATTGTTTTTTAAAAGACCCACCCTCCCCACTTTCAAATTTATGTGCAAGCGAGAGCATGCAAAAGCTCATTTCTCCTTGTGCACGCTTTTTTTAAAAGTTGCTGTTCTTATAGCTCATACAAGCTTATTGTGCCCTAAGGTCCACCCTAACCCCTAAATCCCTCAATCACTCACTATAGAGTGGAGACTATATAGTGGACTTTATAGCAAACTGAGCTAGCTGAATGTTTGGACAGATAATCACTGCTTTTTACTCCCCTTTGCGCGGTGGCTGCGCCATCTGTCCTATTACTTGAGACTGCCGTGTAATGACAGCCTGTGACAACAGGTCTTACGAGATAGTTAATGAAAAGATAGTTAATGGGACGAGCACGTAGGACGGCCTTATGTAAACATGTCACCAGAATGACTGACAACTAGGAGGACAGATTATTTAGGTGATCCACCAGGAAATTAAAGATCGTCCTCTATAACTTTAATGAAATGTTACCAATGTTACATAGGTAATGCATTCTAACCAGATAAGCAGAAGTTACAAAGTTTTATACAGTTCAAGATTAAAAATTTGAGTTTTAATGCTTTAATTTCAGTTTTAAAATTCCCCACTCTATTTTAAAACTCAGATTAAAACTGGATTTTATTCAGTCTGATAAAAGTGGTCGTTACTTTGCTTATGCCAGTAATCTTGATAAATTAGTTGTGATCTTAATTATGATCTTTTTTTTTCTGTGTTCTGTTTAAAGAAAGGGATATCTGTATCAGATCTTTGTTATCATTAACAGATGTTTACACCACAGAGAATGTCCTTTTTCAGCACTCGGAATTGTCTTGCCATTGAAATGTTAGACAGCAATTTATTCAATGCAATATCTCCCAAAGGAGATAAAATGTTCTTCCTTGCATATTTTTCTTTACTCGCACAGAAGGCATTGTGATTTTTAGCACTGGGAAAAATAAATCCAAAGTCAACTAAGCAATTATAATACTTATTTGATTCTAATTCAATATTATGTGAAGTACTATTATATATCCTACAGGGTAATATGTGCTTTACTTTAAAGAGCTGTTTAATTTATAAAAAACATATAGACTGTATTTAATGTATATGATGGATGCTAAGATATCCTGTATAGCTGGACTAATTTTTAATGACTTAACAAACAGGTTAATATAATGATAGCAGGGTGATTCCAATAATCGGTAATTTCTTCTCTCTCATATTTTTGTCAAAGACAGCAGTGTTTTGTCCGCTAGCCCTAATGGGCCCCACTGCAAACACTCGGTATGATCTAGGTGTCCACATCAGATCCAAACTATTCAGATGTCACAAACATATACAACCAGTATACGACCGTAATTCAGTGAAACTGATGAGGCAGGAGCAAGGAGATGAAAAGTTCACAAAATGTCAGGCAATACAGTTAAAAGAGGAAGTTTTGCACAGAAAAAAAAAGAAAAAAAAAACAAACACCAACAAATAGAAGCAACACAATCCTGATCTAAAGTGAATCAAACCCCAGCATGAGTAGAAGGAAGTAACAGAGGAGGTTCACGCCTGTTTAGACAAGCAAACATTATTCGTGTCCAAACACATCCTGACCGTCACAACCGGGAAATCGAAACCAATTTTATACCCTTACTAAGAAACTGTCCTTTGTCTCATTTACTTTATACTAATGTGAGGAGCACAGCCAGACTATCACAGGTAAGCCCCAACTAACTAATGTTTAACAGAATCAAGGAAAGTAAGAAAAACTAACCTAAAGAAAATCAACTATTTAACACCTTTTGTTATAATTGCTTAATTAAATGATTTATCGGTCAACACATTTGATTATGTTGCTGTACATAAGTTTATGTTGTTATTGTACTTCTGTATTAGTCCTCTTGTTTCGGTGCTTTAGGTCTCTAACTGAAATGTAAGGGACCCAGGTTCTATCCTGGCTGTATAAGGAAGGGCATCCGAGGAAAAAACTTTGCAAAGTCTTTAGGCGAGTTACATCGACTCGCTGTGGCAAGGGAGCAGCAGAAAGGACACACAAAAATTTTTAACCCTTTTTGGGATTTTATTATGAATATTGTATTTATGAATAATGATAAACTGTCAGCCTCCACATCTAACCCACTCTGAAATGAAACTGATTCTGTTTGTTTGACAAAATTTAAATAAGAGAGCCCAGTTGGAGCAAAAAAAAAAAACTAAAAATGACGAAAAATAATAAAACAGAAAAGAGGTAAGTAAAAATGGAAGAAATTCAAATTAGCTTTCCTACATAAACATAAACAAAATGTGCCTGATATTTATATCAATCTGTTGCTTTCAAAATAAAACATCTTGCTGATCTTATAAAATGTATTCAGCATTTGAAATGATAACTTTGTTAAGATTTTATTCAAAACAAGTGTTTAACTTTACTGTCCTCTTAGAAAACATATGTATTTGTGAATTCTGAGGACATAAATATTAATGTTTTTCCATCCGAACAAAGCATTAGAAACACCTCTTCCTTTCTTATATGTTAACTTTTAATGCATTCACTACTGTTAAATGGCTGACATTCGTGTTAACAGGTTTAGCTTTGATGTTAATGGCACATTTTTATTCAATTTTGGTGTTAAATTCCATTTAAAAGTTATGAAAGCAGCTGATTAGAACACATTTTTGTGCATAATGTTCAAGATTTCGAGGAATCTTTTAAATAGGAGTAAATATGAATTAGAGGTGTGTAACGACTATAATAATGAAGGTCATCTGGTTTCAGCCATTCAGATCCACAAAGAAAGAATAAACATTAAAGTTATGAGGTTTAGACAGAGCTGCCAGCTCAGCATTACAATGCAGGTCCTGGAACAGGTTATGCTGCATAGCATTGATTCAGGCCCTGCAGCAACAATTCACTCTTTTGTTTTTCTGGTTTTAGGTATAGAAAAAAACTTACAAAAGGAGAAAAGATCTGCAGCACAAGTTTAACTTTCAATTATTTCCATCTATGTTTCCAGTGACAGATAAAAAAGACAGAAGAAATACAATAGAAGCAAACATAACAATTAAAGAAAGATCATTTTCACAGAAAAAGTGGTTTCATTTTTTTATCCTCTGCATATTAACAAATTTAAAATTAACACATTTATTGTTCGTTACAGGTTTGTGAACACAAGAAATGCTAAACCTGCACCACAGTTAAGGGTCATTTCCAACAGTCAGAAACTCAAAGTTTTTTATTGTTTTACTACATCTACTTATCATTAACAGCTGGTCAAAACAGCTAAGTAATTTTATAAAAGTAAAAACCTCCCAGGTTTTTTTCTTGATGTTCTAGGACCAACTTGTTGTATTTAAGGCCAAGAAATATTTTGCAGAAATTGAAGAGAGGGATTTTTTTTTCTTTTACTTACAGTGACGAGAACAACGTTCTTGCAGTGAAGGACATTTCATTTCTAAGTCTGCATATCTCTATTATTGCAGCTACACAGAGATATTCAACTTTCTGGGGCAGTTTAACATGTTTTCTTTCAAACTCTTTATGTTTTCTCTCTCTATAATTTTCAGTGCTTTATTTCAGCTTCAGACGTCAGTTTCTTCTCCAATTCAGAGACATCATGGGAAGCTCATCTTCTAGTAAGTCCTTCATATTTTTGTTAGCTGGGTCGAGACATTTTGTCTCCTAAAATACCTAAAATCCATAAAAACTGAAAGTTCTTAGAATAAATCCATATGTCTATTCATCTCCTCCCCCTAACCTGTCGCACTCACCGTGGGGCTATTGCCTTTTTAAACTTTTAAATTATATTTTATTAAACTTTAAGGTATATATAACATCTAAAGTGACTTTATTTTAAACCATGGATCACTAAGGGCAAAGAAAATGCATGTAAATTGAAGAATCACCTTTATAAACTACACATTAACAAAAGAAACTGAATATAGATATAAGGCAAATGAATATTAACTGACAAATATAATAAGAACCAATAAGGATTATTATCAGAAATGACTTAAAACAGCGCAGATCCAATAGTTAAGAGACCTGGAAAATATTAAATGAAATTATCCGCAATTAGGAATGGAAATTAAATGCCACACAATCGAAAATACAAATTAAAGAATTAAATGTATTTAAGGATTTTTTATTGTAAATGTTGGGCCTGGTCTATCAAATAAGTCAAATTCTAGGGAAGCAAAAGCACCAAATGAGGAAACCACTAGACCAAATCCTAACTCAGTGTTTATTAGGAGGGTACATTAAACTGAAATAATACAAATAGTAAAAATATAAAAATAAACAGCCTACAAGGTCTGACCTAAATATGATGCTGGTTGAAAATATATTACACTGTATAGTTAGACTGTTCATATATATTTGTAATCAGTCCTTTATCACCAGTATATTTCCTAGCAGTGACTGCCATCAGTACACTTTTTACAGTTCTATCTGCCTACATTCACAATTTTTAAAAATCTTCTGAAGTCTGAAGAAAGGCTAAAGTATTTTTTTTTGTTTTCAGTTTCATGTTGATTCATGATTTTCTTTTATTTTCTAGTTTTATTGGGTTAATCCCTATTTTGTTGTGTTTTTAGATATATTTGAGTTTTAAGGCTTTTCTTTGTTGCCCTCTGTTGCCTTCTTTGTTAGTTCCCTTTTCCTTAGCTGTTTTCTAGAAGCCTCTGTTCTCACCTGCTCGTTATCTCCCAATCTGCTCGTTATCTCCCAATCTGCTCGTTATCTCCCAATCTGCTCATTAGTCCCGTCTTTGTGCAGTCAACCATAAATACTCTCCCTGTGCAGTTCCTCAGTGCTGGTTCCTCTTCTCTCCTCGGCTTCTTGAGCTTTTTTTCCTGATGTCTCCATGGTTCTGATTAGTTTGACATTTTAAGATGGATTTTTGAAACTGCAATAACTCACCTCTGCAGTTGGGTCCTCAACCCTGAACCAAACATTGACAGAAACAGACAATAAAAAATACACAGTTGGAATTTTCAGTGATTTAAGAAAAGCTTTTGACCATGGACCAAGTTGCTAGTAGAAAAATTTGAAAAAATTAGAGTCAGAGGCCCCGCACTTGCTTGGTTATTTAGTTATCTCAGTAACAGAAGTCAATTTGTACTTAGTAACAATATTGATTTTCCCCAAAAAATGTATCATACCTGGTGTTCGGCAAGGCTCCATATCAGGACCAAAATTGTTCATCATTTATTTTATATAAATGATTTCTGTGAAGTACTGAAAAAGTTGAAGTGTATATTGTTTGCTGATGATAAAAGTATTTACTGCTCAGATAAAGACTTAGATTAACTTCTGCTTAAAGTGAAAGAGTATTTATAACAATAAATAAATGGTTTGATACTAACAAATTATCACCGAATTTAACAAATAATTACATAAATTTAGCAAATCAGAAAATTAAACAACATCCCAAAATTAAAATTAATGATACGGAAATAGAAAGAATATGATGAAAGAATGTTAGGTATTATTCTTGTCATTAAATTAAGTAATCATAAATATTCTAAGGAAAAAAATATAAAAAACCAGTGCTTTATTGTGTATGTTGAAAAGATTTTTAAACCAAAGTTCCCTTTTCATTCTATACTTTTCTCTTGCTTTTCTATACCTCAGATATTTTGTGGAAATAATTATTACCCATTCTTTAATCTTACTTCATAAGCAGATTGTTAGAAATCAAAATGTTTTTTCATTAAACTAAATATATTAAAACTAAATGATGCTACAAAAAGCAGCAGATCAATCTTTCTCCACAAAACAGAAGTCTGTCAGACCTCTATGGACTGTCAGCCTTTATGGTAGATCACAGCATAGTTACCTTCAAATTTATGACAAAAACATTACATCAATAGTCTTATTGCCGACAGCAATAACAAAAATAAATGCAACCAAAAATAACCATTAATCATCATGGATGATGTGTGTGAGAATGTATTATTCTTATTAGTTGTTTTGTATCAGTTATTGTTATTTATTTCCTATATTGTGTGTAAATGGTGGGACAGTGATTTTTGTTTTTAAGCATATGCACTGATCGATGGCACTTTTTTAAAATTTCGTTGTTCTTGTGACAATGGCAATAAAGATAAATTGAATTGATTAATTGTGTATATAATGTGTACTTCCAGGTGCTAAAAGTCCAGAATATCAGGAGGGTGAAAATACAGATCTGGTTAGTAAATCATCTATTTTCTATCACCAAATGTCAGATATTTGGTTTAAAATATATATATATATTTTTATGGCAGAGACAGAAATCAGCCACCAGATTAAAATCTTAGTTTCATTTTTCTAATACTGGCAGCAGGATGTTTGGGTCATGAAGCTTTAGGTGGTGATTTGCTCATTCTGTGGCTGAGTGTCAAATGTTATTTTAGTACAGTTGCTGACCCCTTGAAAAATAAATAAGTGACCGCCAGAAATTACCTTCCAACCCTCCAAAGTGATAAATCTTCTCTTTCCATAAAGGCTTGATTTTATGCTGAAATTAAAAAGACATATAAAGTTCCTTCTTCCAAGGGGTGGTTGGCCACCTTAACTTGAAACTAGGAGATGATGTCAATCCCCCTGTCCCCATTATCTTAACAAATTTAGGGAAATATTAAATAATGAAAGAATCATGATAGATGGGGGAGTAAGACTGTTTTTTCCTCAGAGGCAGTTCTTGGTAAATCAAGATCTGCCAACATGCTGGACACAGAGAACCGCCAGTGAGGATTTACCATCTGGTACTGTACTGGAAGCATTGCTGATTTAATTGCTCATGTACTTCAACGCTCAGGATACAATCATTTGCAACATTCCTAAATCTAGAGTGATGTACCTTCTAGATGCAGAAAATGCCAAAGAGGCAGCCATTACCAACTGTAGGAAGTGACCCTGATTCAGTCACAAACATGTTGCACAACTGAACTAAGCTAGGAGCAATGCCATCTGGGAATTTAGAATTTTTTTTTTTTTTTTATGTAATCTGAACCAGATCTCATGCATAAGTGGTGATGGGTACTGTACCTGGGAATCCGTGTGGGTACCAAAGCTACCTATTTTCACTAGAAAACATGTTTTGATGTTTTGGTTACAGAATGAAAGCCTTATAACTTTTTACGTTTTTCATAGGATTGTCAGAAACTTTTTAGCTAGAGGTTTTATTTCCTGTTAACTTTATTGATTAAGAAGAACTTCATCTTTTATGTTTGGCCTTTAACCACAGAATGGAAAAGATCCAAAGCCTGGAGATCTGATTGAGATCTTCCGTGTCGGCTATAAGCACTGGGCTGTGTACATCGGCAGCGGATACGTCGTTCACTTTGTGGTAAATGGTGAGTCTTTCACTTATATTGTCTGTTATGTTTTAGTAAGTGAACAAAAAGCCAAAAGCAATGTATTTTATAAAGTATATTGTATATAAACCAGACATGGGCAATGTGGAGTCAACAAGTCATCTCCATGTCATTTATTTGTTCTACCCAGCCACTGAAGCAGGTGAATCCAATCTTCACCGTGAATTAACCTGTGCAGATTGGACTCACCTGGTTAATTGGCTGGGTAGATTAAATACATGACATGGAGATGACTTGTTGACTCCACATTGCCCATGTCTGATATAAACTGCTCTGCAGAAACTCTATGATGGTGGCCTGATTCAGAGCTGTCCTCCACCTGCTGACCTCTGGCTGAAATCATTTTGATTTATAGATTTAGGTCAAAAAAACTGAAACTGAATAAATTCTGGGATGTTTGCATGAATGGTTATTAAATCTTTAAGTATTTTTACACATTCGCCCGCCCAGGTTTATGCTGCAGCTCCAGCAGGGTGCCGGTACCAGGAGAGATGGGAGTTGTTATGAAAGAGAAGCTGCAGGAAGTGTTGAACGGTGACAGATGGAGAATCAACAACTACCTGGATAAAACATGCCAACCTCAAAAGATTTATGCCATTGTGAAGCAGGCCAGTGGATTCATTGGTGCTCGAATGCCGTACAACCTGGTTAGCTTTAACTGTGAACACTTTGCTAACGATCTACGCTATGGAAAGCGCACATCTCGACAGGTAGGTCAGAGGATGCTGAAGCATTGACAATTTAATCACGACATGCAGAAGCTAGTGTGATCTGGTCTTGTGAAGTTTTTACAGTTATGTCTTTGCTAAAAACTCAATGTCTCCCCCTACAGGTGATCCATGCTGGAGCAGGTGTGGGTGGAACCATGGCAGGCCTTATTATATTAGCTGGGACTGTGGTAGGAACCCTTATAGGACTTGGCAGAAGCTGAATGAGCAGAGATGTTCTTCAATTTTCAGATTTTCAGTGAATAAACTGTCATTGTTCTTTCATAAGAAACAGAAGATCATCACTACTTTTTTTCACATTTGCCAATTGTATAAAAGATGAAAACTATAATTTTTTTCATCATACAACACATACACACACACACACACACACACACACACACACACACACACACACACACACACACACACACACACAAAAACCCATCAATATACTCCTAGAGTGGAACACAATAAAAGTCTACATTTTACTGAAGGCAAAATCCTATATGAATCCTACATGTATGAATATTTACTTATAGTTATTATTCCTGTGTTCTCACGAAATGATTTGGCACGGATGGTTGAGGTCCTGTAAGATGGAGTTCAGGTGTTTCCAGATCCTAGTTGCTCCATGATAGAATTGAGAGATGGTGTCCTCAAACGGAAGCAAAATGAGGTTTAGCATTGTTCAGGTTTTTGAGCACAGTTGATGCCTTAAGGAAACAAAGGGAATCTGAAGTCATGCAGAGGTTGAAACTTTTCTTCTCAACTGGTAAATTGAATGGTTTCAATTAGCATTAAAGGACCTGGCAACTGACTAGCAAACAGTACAGAAGTGGACATTTTTACCCCAATAGAGTATTTCAAAGAATCAACCCTTATATGAAATTACATTTATATTTGAAAGGTGCAGATTTAAAACCATACAAGTTCTCTAATAGAAAGTTGAAAGATCCGTCACCAACCGGGCCTCCTATGAACTGTTTCTGTCTCTGTAGAAAAAAGCCATTTGAAACCAGAAGTTTCCGCATATTAACTTGACTAAAGAAGCATATTGACGGTGCAGGAACAAAGCATGACCCACATTCAGAAGGGTCATCAGGGCATATTTGATCCAGTACAGATTTTATTGTTTGCCAAGCATGCAGAAGTCTTTATTATTATCATAACTGAAGTTCACCGAGTTGTGGAATCTGAAACTGAAACCTATAATAATCACATTTATTATTATAGAATTACTTAATGACTTTAAGTGATTCATTTGCATGTTATTTTATCACATAGGTATTTAATTCATCAGAAAAAACCTAATATTTGGTACAGACACTGTTGGAATTCCAGATATCAAAATGTTCCTGTAGTCCTTGAGTTTTGCATAAACTGCAGCGAGGATGTTGGACCACTCCTAAATGCATATCTTCTCCAGATCCTTCAGATTTTGGGGCTGTCATTGGATAATATTGACCTCAGTTCCCTCCAAAGATTTTCCATTGTGTTCGGGTATGGAGATTGCCTAGGCCTCTCCAGGACCTTTAGAGCCTTTAATGGAGCCACTCCTTAGTTGTCCTGGATGTGTGCTTCAGGTTTCTGTCATGATGAGTCATCCAGTTGGTCTAATCTTCACCAACCTTAATGAGGGAAGGTTTGTTAGCTAAGATCCCCTGTCTCATCCCTCTCATCCTCTCTGTAACCCATCTCAGCCTTTTGCAGCTCAACTGTTTTATCTCTGATCTCCCTACACTGATCATTTGGTCTTGGCAATCATGGAGTGGATCAAGTTTCTTTATTCAGATATAGCGGACAACAGCAGGGCTTCTTAAAGAAGATTTAACAGGCCTGTGAGAGCCTGAGTTCTTACTATTTTTATATGTTCAAATGTTTATGTAATGCAATACAATTACTTAATAAAAATCATACATTGGGATTTTCTTGATTTTTAATCTTGATTATGTCACTCGTGATTGAAGAGCATAAATATAAAAGAAAATATAAATATATATAAAATATAAAAATGAAAATCTGTGAAATCAGCAGTGCATCAAATATTTGTACTCCTCATCGTAGTATCTGTACGTAGTACTTGATGTTGACATCATGGGTACCAATCATGGCCTGTTGACCTTTGCTAAATGTCTTCTCTTCTCTTTCAACCACATCTCTGTCAACCTGCTTTAAACTAAAGGCCAGAAGAATAAAAATAAATAAAAAGAAAATAACAGACATAAATTAACAGGTGTACCAAAATAAAACACTTCCCTACTCAGAGTCATTGACTTGTCTCTTTATCAATGTTTGATCAGTTTTTTTTTCATAAGGGGCTGCAGGAAACTCCTTTGTCTCCCGATGGGAGTCATGAATCCACAAGCCCAATGAGGCCCCACCAAGACCAGGAGGTGCCTCATTGGGCTTTTCAAACCCATCAGCAGCACACTCAGCCTATTGATGGAGGGAAAAACAGAGAAAATTTGCTATCAGGTCCAGAGGAAAACTGTTCTTAGGTTCATGATAATAACAATAAAAGAAAAACAGTTTGCAGAATTTATACAGAGGAAATATGAAAGTAAACAAGAGAAAAAGTTTTTTACCTAAAGACTGATTTTATTACCGGGTTGAGAACATTCAAGCAGAGAAATCCAGCTGTGGATGCAGTTTTTCTTTCACTGAAGCTGTAGATTTAGCTGACCTTATTTTTTCAAGTAATATTAGTTTTTCAGAACAGAATCTACTGAGGAACTACAGAATGTCTGCAATAAATGGTGACATTAATGAAAAGCTTGTGAGCCTGAAAGGCTTTCCTTAGAACACATGAAAAACTTTAGATAAAAATACTGAGGCTTGTTCATGTTTTCTACTCCTATTCTACTCTTATACTGTCATGAAACAGAACATATGGACTCAGTAATCAAGGTGAGACATTCAGTAGAAAGTTCAAAGCATTTATTAAAATAAAACAGACAGAATTGAAGTGGGCTGCTGAGGATCTGTGGACCTGCAGCGACTGCAGGAGGGGGTGCGAGGCATCGCCCAATCACTGACACTCTGCTTTAGGGAGAAACACAGGTCAAGCGGGCCGATCCACACAGGAACCGAGAGATCCGGGTTCCAGGATTCTATCAGAGCATGAAGGCAGGTTCAGAGTCCTGTGCGTTGAGCATGAAGCTCAGATAGAAACGTACATACGGTAGTAATATATAAACGTAATGCATGACATAATGTATTTCTATATACTTACATTTGGATTTTCAAATGTAATATTTCAAAATGAATTGTGATAATTTTATTTTTGAAAATATGTGAAATGTTGTTTTATTAAACTTTGGCATTAAGTGATTAAATAAACTGGCCTGGAAAAAAAGAAAATATTCAGTTTGGGTTATCTATTGATAACTTTACAAATGAGTCAAACATGCAGCTCTGACTATGAAATAAAAATACTAATAACTAATCTTTTTTGTTAACTCGGAATTAATTTTGGTCACTTATGCTGGGACATTTTAACAAATTGAGAAACTTGAGTTAAACTTTACCAAAAGCAACATTATTCATTAATTTTAAAATAATCTGAAATTTTTCTTTTTGAAATTTGCAATTTAAAAGAGATATTTTTCATAATTTGTTTGTTTGTTGCAGTTGAACCAGACTTGCAGAATGTCAGCAGCTGCAGCAGTAAGTCCACCAAGCAGCAGAAGAAACACAGACATAGTTCTTTATAATTTTTTTGCTAAGTTTAAATGCTTCATTCTGCTCACTTTGATGATGAAAGCCTCAGGATTTTAATCTGTAAATCATTGTTTTCCAGTCCAAGCTTTTCCCGTGCATTAATGTTTTGCAGACATATTTTCTGGACTTGTCTGTTTCCTTTGTTTTTCATGCACCTGAGATCAGAGGGATTCTGCTTGGACACAGTCTGAGAGGACTGCAGTCGCAAACTTGCTCCAGGAGATGCCGCTGTTCAGCACAGAGCAGGAACCAGACTGAATGCCCATCAGAGGACTTTTTACGGACAAGGCATTGGTTCTGATCAACACCCCAGATGTTCTTCGGTCCAGCATGTCTGAACACCAAGACTCCATGCTCCTGGTCCTGGTTCTGCTGGCTAAATACTTTACTGAAGAAGACAACCTGCAGCGGTGCAGAGTCCTGAAGCTGTTTGGTGACCAGTTGTTTGGTCACTCCCTGGTTCTTTTGTCAACAACTAAAACCAAAGGCTTAGACAGCAAGAAGAAGAGGCTGTACTCCTCCTTTAAGGACCTGATGAAAATGTGTAACTCCAGCTCACTGTGGATGAAAGACCTGAAGCATCAGCAGCCTTTTTCTTCTCTGGTTCACATTTTTATGGAGAATAATGGACGGCATGTCAAATGTTAAGCATGACACTAATGACTGCAGTCGAACCTTCCTGTGCTGGAAGAAGGTTTTCCTGGAACAAATAGTCAAATTCCAGTTACAGATGTTCATAGATAGATAGCATTAAGTTTTCCCTGATTTAAAAAAAAAATGTTCTCCAGGTTACTTTGGTATATTTTTTTTTACTAAAGGTAAAAAAAAATTCAAGTAGCTCTAAAATATCATCTGTGAAAGTTGACAAATATTTGAATTACAGTGGATGTAAATAGTAATTTCTTTAATTTGATAGTTGTTTATAAAGACGTTTTGTTTTCAGGCAACTTTTTACAATATTGAAAAATAATTAAATTAAGCTATGGAATAAGAAAGAGGAAACATTTTGGGGATTCTGGGTAACAAACTCAGGGGAGGGGGGGGGGGCGGTATCTCAGGGAGGTTTTCAGACTGAAAGTATAAATCTGTTTCTAAGTCATTTGCAACAGAAGTTTCTAAACATTAAATAAATGTAAGTACATATTATAGGGTTTCCCACAGAAACCTGGTTAAGCCAGATGTAGCCTACAGGACAGGAGGCCCAACGTGCTTCTGTTAAAAATGTTTAAAAACAGACAAAAAAAAAAAAAAAAAAAAAAAAAAAATATATATATATATATATATATATATATATATATATATATATATATATATATATATATATATATATATATATATTATTGACAATACTTCAACACAAACTATCTGCCTTAAAAAAGAACATTGTTAAACTAACAAAAAACTATTACAATAAATATTGTCTGCACTTTAGATGAGTCTATCTTGAGTCTATCCAGTCGACCAGGACTGTATTTCCTAGGATGTTGCAGTGAAATACAGAGTTACAGCCATGTAGGAACTTAACTTCCATCTAAAGACATACATACATACTACATAGAGATAACATGGAAATCTTGTAGCTGTTTTCTAGTGCGTGCATACCATTCATACTGGGATACTCCGGTTATTACAATTAATAATAGGCTAGGAAACTAGTTCCAATTCTAAAACAAAGTATTAGCTACATCAAAACAGGTGAAAGGGAAACTAGTTGATTCACTTTATATAGAAAATTGAAAGGTCAATGTAGAGCACACTGAGGGAGATGTTCCTGGAACTTCAGGGTTTAAGATGAGGTTATTAATGTAAACGCCATAATAATGAGATTGTTATTCAGCTAGTGTGAAAACAGAGGAATATCATTTTTTTTGCTCTTTAGGACACAGTCAGTTTGAGTGAAGATGGACTTCAAGCAACTCAATGTAGTTACCTCGACATGGACAGAAAGACAAAGCAGCTGGATCCAATGTTTGTTGAAGTGCAACAACTTAAAAACAAGTCATTATAACTGGCAGACAAAGTGGTGCAGACTCTGCCAAACCTTCTACTGCTCTCCAAGCCACCTCAGCAGCCCATAGCATTCTAGAATCTTCTTTTTAAGCTGCTTCATTTTGGTCCTGTTTGCATTTAAATCAAGTTGTGAACCATGTCCACCTCCTTCACCATTTCATCCCGCCTTCATCTTCCAGTCGGCCACCAGTTTCTTGTCCCTGAGCTGAAGAGCTCTGCAATCTAATAAAACCACCCATTCTATTCTATCATCATCAGCAGTGCAAAAAAAATTTATATTATATGTTGTGCATGTATTTTATTAGTAATAAGCTGTATAGCTGTTCAGGATTCACGTTTTAATTAACTTACAATTTAAAATACTCATAACAAGATAAATCAGTGTGGCTCAGTATTCTAAACCACTTTTAAAAATTTATTACAGAGCTTATTGTTTGGTTTTTTGACCCTTATGGGTTACCGTGAGCATAAATAACTACTGGGTCATCACACAGCTCCAAAGTAGAAATGTTTATTAAACTGATTTGGTTCGAACTTAAAAAGGAAAAGTTCACAAACAAATCAACCGGCAACGTTAAATATTTAGGAGGGGAAAAAAAACAGAACTAATAAAATCATGAACTTGATCTAAAGTAAATTAAAGCTCCACCAGGAGGAAGTAACCGAGGAGTATATCAGCCTCTCTCTGTTTAAACAGGCAAACATCTGCTATGTTGAATCACATCGTGACCTGAAGCTGAACTCGTCACAGGAACTGAAACCTGTTTTTATGTCTACTGTAGACACTTCCTTTGTTTCATACTTTTCTTTCCGATGTGAGCAGCGTAATTGGACTTTCTCAGGTAAGTTTAATCTAACTAACTAACTAACTAACTAACTAACTAACTAACTAACTAACTAACTAACTAACTAACTAACTAACTAACTAACTAACTATTTAAAAAAGAAATATTCTGGTTCATATTTCCTGATACCTGTTAAAAAAAAAACCCAACTGTTTACTGTAATCAGGCTTGTAAAGCATACCGGAAACTTTTCAAAAGAATCAAGGAACTTAGATAAAGCAATATACAAATATATTATTAAACATGTTTAAGTTTAAATGATCTATTGGTCACCACAGAAAAACTTTACACACATTTAAATAATAAACTTATTAATGTAACTTCAGTCTACATTTTTATTGTGCCTTTTTTTGAATTGTGCAATAAAAGCATGATTTCCAAAATATTTATATCCATCTGTTGCTTTTTGAGATAACATGTCTTTAAGTTTATTTATTAAATTGATTTAAATTCAAACTGATTATAAAAACATATTATCCTCCACTTTGTAAAAATTAAAGCAGAATCCCTCCTTAAAAACATAGTCTTCAACAGCTTAACAGATTTATTAGACATTTCTAATGACATAAATATTGAGGTTATTTCAATCAAACTAGTTATAAGAGACTTTTCTCTCAATCTTATATTTAAACTTTTAATGCATCCATTCCATAAATAGATTATTCATGTTTGCAGAAGTTGTTTGTAGCCTTGATGTTTAGCTCTTTTAATATATTTTGGTTTTAAATTCAATTTAAATGTTATACATTAGAAACACACTGTTATGTTTTTTTTCCCCATTTTTTTATGGTTTCAAAGACTTTTAACTGTTAAAGTTATCTAATGATTATACTAAGAAGCTGTTATCTCCACAAAGAGTAAACATTACAGTCATGAGGTGGAGGGATTATAAAGTTCAGCTTTATTAAACAGTTCCTGGAACAGCGTATACTGCAGCTCAGTATTGTTGCAGGACGTGCAGCAACGATCCACCAACGTTTTTGGTTATCTTTTATGTGGCATCAGAAAAAATTGCATAAGGAAAAAAAAAAGACATGCTGCAGTACATTGTGCTTTATCTGCAGCTTATTTCCATCTTTGTTTCTAGTGGCAGATACAAAATCGATCAAAAAGGAATACCGTGAAATAAATTGACTCCATGTCTGTTCAAGTTTATTACTAGAAATGCAAAATTTCTGGCACAGTTATTGGTTAAATTCAACAATCTGAAACTCAAAGTTTGTTTCATTGTTTCAGTACATCTATCATTAAGTACTGGTCAAAACAGTTCAGTCATTCAATGATCATCCAAGACAAACCTGCTGGATTTAAATATGAGAAATACTCTGCAAAAATTAAAGAGAGAGATTTGTTCTTTTACTTGCTGCTGCAAGAAACAGGACATTTCATACTTCACAAGAACTGAAGTGCAGAACTCTGAGCCAGTCTTCTCATCTCTCCCGAAGTGCAGCAGCACAGAGACTTCAAGTTTCTAAAACAACCTTTATGCCCAGAATAAGTCAGGTTATTTTGCTCTTGCAGATTTATTAGAGTAACTTTCTCCTTTGATCTCTATTGTCCTTTACTGTCATGATAAATTATGGTACAGTTTACCATCTTTCTGATAAACATTTTTCTTTCTTATTTCTCCATATAATCCACTGTTTCAGGTTTAGTCGTCAGTTTCTTCTCCTATTCAGAGACGTCATGGGAAGCTCATCATCCAGTGAGTCTTTCATATTCTTCTAGGTTTGGTTGAAACATTTTTCATATAAGGCAAAAAATCAAAATCTTAATTCACCCCAATGAGACCAAAATATATAAACTGAGATTTAAAACACATTTAAAACAGCTTCATCTTTAGAAGTATAAATTACATGCAAAGTTGATTTATTTCAAAGAACAGAAACACCGACCCGAGCAAAGAGCTGCCTGAGCTGGAATAAGATTCCAGATGTTTAGCAACAGCTTCTGCAGGTTTTGTTACCTGATGGCTCTGCAGCCTACATTCAGTTCCTCACTAATCACATGCTTTCTGTGCGGCACTACCAGAGATTAAGTGCAGATTATGCGCCTCATATAAAATCGATGGAAACAAATGGAAATCCAACAAAGGATGATAAATGCAACACAGTGAAACTCCTTAAGGATTTACAGTGGTTATAAGTGTAACCTGCCTCTGCGTTGTGTAATAATGCACCGTTAAATCACTCCAAGTCTGCCAATTATTGCCGTGTTTATTCTGAAAAGAGTGAAACAAAACTGTTTAGCAGCAAATAAAAACGTCAAGCCGACAACAAGCCACCTTCCTCCATTGCATTAACGAACAGTGTTGGGAAGGAGGAAGTGACGTCACAGGTTATACCCGCAAAAGTAAAACTATCTTTCCCAAAACTATTATACAGATTATTGTTCTTTAAAGTAATAATTTCAAGGTAAAACCAAAAGAGAATACATTAATAAAAATACAAGATGAAGGAATTTTGGTGGAATAAATTTTTTCTTCCATGTCACATAAGCATGATCTGCTTTATATACATTCTCTAAGTGGGTGACTTCACCACACAGGATGTAGCATTAGAGAGGGAGATGGTTGCTTGTAATGTTGAACACAGTAGCCAGTAGGTGCAAAGTTGCAGCATGTGGTGAAAAATGCTACACATTGATAATACAACCTACAGAACACAAAAAACTAAACAGAAAAACGTTAGAGAAGAAAGATGCGGTTATCAAGGAACATTGAAGAAAAAAGAAAAATACTGGACATTCAAAAAGCAGCAGGCTAGATAATACCACAGTGTACACCTGCAACATTTTAAAATATAAACATTAAAACAATAATCATGTATGAACTGTTTTATAAATATTTTTTTCCACCCAGGTGCTGAAAATCCGGAATATCAGGAGGGAGAAAACACAGATCTGGTTTGTAAATCATTGATTTTTATTACAGTGTCAGATGTTTGGTGTCTCTGAATATGTTTTTTTATGGGTCAGGGACATAAATCAGCCTGAATAAAACAAAACAATAAAACCACCCTTAGGGCCTGATCTTCAAAGAGTCCAATTGAAAGCTGATAAATTGCACATGAAATGTTCTACTTGTTGCAGGTGATCTACAAAGACTGTTGTGCAAGTTTTAAGCCCTGTAAACTGATAATGTTCCACCCATTAAAAATAGAAGGTTGTATGTTTTTATTACTAATGTAGGGTAATAAAAAGACAGTACTGTACTTTGTGCATGGTTATGGTTTATGAATTGAAGGAGAAAAAAAATTCCCAGTAGCAACAAGTGGGAAATTCACACTTTGACTCCACCAACATCATGCCTATTTGCAGGATTTTCTAATTTGATGTTTTTATAAGCATGCCACAATATTTAAGTTCTTTTTTTTTTTTTTTTTGGTTTAATTGTATATTCATATTTTCTGCTTTCCTGCTGCATTAACTTCTGTCAGCATTTGAAGATGTGTTTATTCATTAATAATATCTTATACTATTCTTATTTTCATTGATCCAAAACTGTTTAGATGTGCACAGATTATTTCTCCATCATCTGGCATTGTACAAATGCCTCCTTTGAGCCAACAATGATCACAGATATTTTTGTTTGTCAGTTTGCACCTGACTTTAACTTGGAAAATCACTTTACACATAGTAAATAATTACATTTCCATGTCCTCCACCCATTAATTTGGTTATGGTTTGGAAATAATAAAAAAAAGGCTTGAAAAAACTTTCTGATGAATTGCAAACGCAAATCACTTTGCACCTTCGCTGAAGATCTGCTGTGCATTTACAAACATGTTTGCACTGGATTTGAGATAGAAACCACCAGACGATCAGGGCCTTAGTTTGCTGCTTTGAACACTTGAGGCAGGATGTTTGAGCTATGTAGCTACTAATGGTGAATGGTTTCTATTCTTGATGCAGGTTGGTTTATTCTTACATCTCTCTTTCTGACTCTCAAACAAAATAAATCAGATTGTGTCTCCTCTTCCTTACTTTCAATGGGGTAAACTTTGAACTGCTGCAATGAATCCACAAAACCTTAACCTTGAAGATATCATTATGAGGTGGAAACGTTCATGGATGATCCTTGTCAAACTGGGAATAGAGACTTCGGAAAAAAGCAAAAAAAAAAAAAAAAAAAAAAAAAAAAAAAACACAAGTTTCTCCAATGTAGTAAATGGGTGAAGCTGTCCCTATCAAAAGCAAAACACATGAAGTTGTGAACATTAGTAAGTTACAGTCTTTTCTAATTGGTCAATTAAATGTTTTCAGGAAAACAGAAACATTTTTCTGTTGAGGTAATTATTTCTATAGAGTGGAAACTGTATCCCTTTATTATATAGAACAATAACAAATGCTCAAAAATAAAATTAGTTTGTAGATCCAAGGTTTTCACCGTTGACTGATTTTATTTGCTGTTAGTTTCATTGGTTAAAAACAACCACATCCTGTCTTTTTGGTCTTTAAACCTAGAATGGAAAAGATCCAAAGCCTGGAGATTTGATTGAGATCTTCCGTGTCGGCTATAAGCACTGGGCCGTGTACATCGGCAGCGGATACGTCGTTCACTTTGTGGTAAATGGTGAGTCTTTCACTTATATTATCTGTAATGTTTTAAAAAGTGAACAAACAACCCAAAGCAATGTATTTTATGAAATATATTGTATATAAACTGGTCTGCAGAAACTCTATGATGGTGGCCTGTTTCATAGCAGTCCTCCACCTGCTGACCTCTGGCTGAAATCATTTTGATTTATAGATTTAGGTCAAAAGAAGAGAAACCCATGAAGTTCTGGGATGTTTGCATGAATTGTTATTAAATCTTTAAGTATTTTTACACATTCGCCCGCCCAGGTTTGTGCTGCAGCTCCAGCAGGGTGCCGGTACCAGGAGAGATGGGAGTTGTGATGAAAGAGAAGCTGCAGGAAGTGTTGAAGGGTGACAGATGGAGAATCAACAACTACCTGGATAGAACATACAAGCCTGAACAGATTTATGCCATTGTGAAGCAGGCCAGTGGATTCATTGGTGCTCGACTGCCGTACAACCTGGTTAGCTTTAACTGTGAACACTTTGCTAACGAGCTGCGCTACGGAAAGCGTACATCTCGACAGGTAGGTCAGAGGTTGTTGAGGCATTGATAGTTTAATAATAGGTTGCAGAAGCTGGGGTGATATGGTGTGGGGAAGTTTTTAAAGGTATGATATCTTTGCTGAAAGCTCAATGTCTCCCCCTACAGGTGATCCATGCTGGAGTAGGTGTGGGTGGAACCATGGCGGGCCTTGTTATATTAGCTGGGACTGTGGTAGGAGCCCTGTTAGGCCTCGGCAGAAACTGACAGAGCAGAGATGTTAGTTTTTGAGAGAAAATGTTCAATAAATGAATCGATTCTTCATGACATAAAAGCAATAAATCATGATCTGTAAATTCTCACAGTATGTTATGCATTGTTATGTGTATTTGTGGTAGCCGAGTGGTAGATTTATTGAATAACAAACCGCAGTAACTTTGGGCAGGGTTTTAATAGAACAAGCCGATAAAGCTTAACAATAATTTGTTTAAAAAAATAAATAAATTTACTAAGAAGAGAAAATGCAGGGCAGCAATGAGCGGCAGAGTCAAGGGATAAGTCTGTTTTAAGCCGGGCATACACTATACGATTTTTTCCCTTTTCAGGCTGATTATCCAGTCGTTCAATTGGGCCTACTTTCAGCCTGATTATGCGTCGTGTAGTATACAGGGGGTCACGAGGGGTGATCAGCCTCTCATGACCACCTCCCGATCAGGAATCATTTGAAATTCAGTCAGCCATCATAAGGTGGCCGTAGGCAAATCCCTCAGTGTGCAAACAAGGATTCTTCTTCTTTGTCTCAGATGAAAACACAGAAGCATGGTGGGGGTGCAAGTGAAATGAACTTCTTTCTCTAAAATTGACAGACTGTAGTGGCCACGTTTGCACAGCCACATCTTTGTCCAAATACATCGTCGCCTTTTCTTCTTAGGGCTTTCAGCACAAAATTGCACAAATTGTTAAATTATAGCTAAAGTCAGGAAAACTCTGAGGAGAGTCAACCCAAGAAAGACCCCAGGCCCCGATAACATACTTGGGTGGATGTACAAGGAGTGTGCAGATCCGCTGGCTGGTGTCCTCACAGACATTTCCAACACCTCAATAGACTGATTTGTTGGGCCTGCATGCTTTAAGTCTGCCACCATCATTCCGCTCCCAAAGAGGCCTCAGGTCACCTCCCTCAATGACTACTGGCCTGTCGCACTGACTCCCATCATGATGAAGTACAGTAATTCGAAAGGCTGGTTAAACAACACATCGTCTCCAGTCTCCTCCAAAAATTCTACCTGTTCCAGTTCACCTACCGATGGAACTGCCTCACTGAGGACGCCATCTCCTTCACTCTCCATCTGAGCCTGGCACATCTGGAGGAGAAGAACACCCACATGTGGATGTTGTTCCTGGTCTTCAGTTCAGCTTTCAACACAATCATCCCACAGTATCTGATAGGAAAACTTGAACAGCTGGGCTTCAATGTACCCCTCTGCAATTGGTCATGAGACTTCCTCACAAACAGACCTCACTCAGTCCAGGTTGGACAGAACACCTCTGATATCATCACCCTACGCACAGGCTCCCATCAGGGCTGCGTCCTGAACCCCCTGCCGTTCACTCTGATGACACATGATTGCATCCTCAGGTTCACAACTAATCACATCATGAAGTTCGCTGACGACGCCATGGTGGTGGGCCTCATGAGAGACGATAATGACCAGGACTACAGAGAGGAGGTGGAGCAGCTGGTGGATTGGTGGAGAGATAACAGCCTGATCCTTAATGTGGAGAAAACTAAGGATATCATTGTCGACTTCAGGAAGAACCAGCCAAACAACAGTCCTTTGCTCATCAACAGCTCAGCTGTAGAGGTGGTCAGCAGCACCAAATTCCTGGGGGTGCAAATAACAGACACCCTCAACTGGACTGTAAACACCACCTCACTGGTCAAAAGGGCATAGAAGCTCTTGTACTTCCTGTAGAGGATGAGAACCCCCACCCATCCTCATGACCTTCTACAGAAGCACAAGGACCCGCAGATTCCAAAATAGCTTCTTCCCCACCGCCATCTGACAGGCTGAATATTGAAAAAACTCTAAGTAATTTCATAGGCTCTGCATCAAACTGACCATATCAATTTGTTTTTTTGCACCATGTTTTGTTCTCCCACAATGTTGAAATTCTGTATAAAGTTAGTCTAAGTTTAAGTCTTTATGGCAATACCAACCATATTATCAAATGAAATCAGAGTGTTTTCTAGAATCTGAATGTTAACGCAAGTTTTGCTAAGTTCACTTAGCTTCTTCTTTGACGATAACCGTTTGCTAATAGTTGTTCCAACAAAGATTAAAGGTCATGTTCACAAATAGCTGAAGGGTCAACACAGTTAGGTTGACTGACTTATGATCTGAGAACTAATGATGACACTTTTACACTGAAAAAAATAATGCAACTGATTTTGACATTTACTTAATCATATTTATTTACTTTAACAAAATTTCTTTATGTCCTACCCCACTAACATGAAACAATTATGTTAAAGTAACTAAATATGATCAAGTAAATACCAAAAAAGTTACCTTTTTGTTTTCAGTTTACATATGTATTTTATGTCACTTTAATAGTCTGTAATAGAGCTGTTGAGCCACACCAACTGGTGGCAGTTTAAATGGGCAATAAGCAAGACATTTCCTGTAAAATAGACCAAAATCATTTGGATTTTGTCACCAGCCGTAACCACTCCCCATAGCATAATTGACAGAAAATTAGCACAGTGACCAACAATAGAGATGAAGGGCTTTAAGTCTGAAATTCCTCATCTGTGGAAGTTTGGTAAGAAACATCTGATTCTACTGTGTCTTACCATCAAGCTTAAGTCAAAGTATGCAATAGAACATGACAAAAATTTACTGTATGTAAAGGTAACTATCTGAATCTGATTTTAAGGGCTTTAATTTTGAAATTCTGTCTGATGTAGATAGATTTTGATGAGAAATATCTTGCTGGCTTCATCTACAAGTGAAAGTAGTAACCCAATGTTTTTGTTTTTAATTTATGGAGACTGATGAGTGAGGGAAAACAATGTATTACCATATTTTTTCCAAACCTGAAGACTAAAATTACATATGTAACAGCAAAAAATATAATCTAAAGTTATTATATTTAAAACAAAACAACAAAAACAATAAAAAAAATAGCCAAATATATGTCAAATATAGTTGCTTTATTTTGAAAATTATCCCCCTGATCAAATTATATGACAGTACTTCATAGTCTATGCCTGACCATCAGACAACTGGGCCTGGACTGTAACTGTCAGCCTGGAAAAATACAGGAATTGTTTACAGATGGAGGATTTAGTGGAGTCATTTTAAAATTTTTGGAGTGCAAAAATTATTTTGTTCTTCCTGACAAATTGGTTCGAACAGATAAACAACTTTTAAATGAATTGTTCAACTCCAGGTTTAGTCAGTGGATATTTAACCTTCCAGTGAAAAAAAGCTTTTCTAAGAGATTTATTTGGTTTGTTCATTCTCAAAATACAGGATTTTTTCTTTCTTGTTCTAAAAGGAGACTTTTACCCCAGGTTTTCCAGGTTCTCCAAAAATGTAATATTTACACTTCTGCTGTATTTTTCATTGTTGGAGGAATTTTCTCATTCAAACTGTTATCTTAAGTTGTTTCAGGAAAAACAAATCCCTGAAAGAATTACCACACTGGTATAAGAAAGATGGATATTCAAAAGTAAAGGATGCATTTTATAACTTTTTGTACTGGTTAAAACTGTAATCTACTAAACAAGAAAATATAAGCACCTGAAACATATTTGATAGTCTGCCAAACATTTTTTGTAAAAATCTGATGTTGAAACATGTAATCAACTGATCAAAACTGGTTTATTACAGCAGTAAAACAGGAAAGAGCTTCTGAGATTTTACTTTCGCTTTCAACTGTTAGACGGTAAAACAGCAGAGCTGATCCTGAAGTTTGAGATTAAACACAACCTTAATTTATTATTCTGGACTCTCAAACATGTTGATTTTGCTGGGTGGATCTGATCTCAGATGTGAGCCTTCAGGGAGGATGATGTGGGGAATAACAAACAGACTGACTGAAGGTAAGGTTGAAGGCAGACTGTCGGTAGATCGTCTGATTAGTGTGTAGTTTTGGTTTTTCATTTTTATTACACAGATGATCAGAACATATGTAGATTTGATTGGAATCAGGTGGATGAACCAGCAGCTAAGGCCTTGGGTCTACATTTTGTTTACTGCATGTCGTCACTCAGCCTTCCTCCATTTTGAATGCAGCATCGGCCATTATGGAGCCAGAATTTTCCTTCCACTGACGTCTGATATTGCTTGAGTCTCTTCTGATATGTTTGCTATATGATCAATCAGACATGCAGATGATATTCCATGGTTCTATTTATTACTGACAACCTGAGGTGGATAATCCAGGTCCAGAAAGTAAAAGCACTGCCTTGTTTGCCTTCCTCCTGCTCACTTTACCAGGTTCTTAGCTCCTCAGGTCATTAGTCTGTGTTGTGAAGCTGGAAATGCAAATGATTGGAACTGATCTCTGTACAGGCTTTTTACTTTCTGGACCTGAATTATCCATCTTTTGAAAAATGAAAACTGTTGTCAGGTCAGGAAGTACAGAAACATTCATGTTTTCTGTTCATTGAAATAATCGTTTTATAAATAAACAAAATTGTATTAAATCTGACTATTTTCATTTATTTGCAGGATATCTAAGATCAACTTAACTGGAATCTCTGAAGGTTTCTGCTCTCTAACATCATGGCAACACCTGCAGCAGGTTGGTGGAATAATTTAGCCTCCTGCTGCCCTCTTGTGGTTGACCTAAATATTTGTAAACATTGCGTTATGAGAAAAAAAAGAGGGAGTTTGTTAAATGTGTGTTTGTGTCTCTGTATTTTGCATTAAAGCAATAAAGTAACTAACAAAAAGGTTTTAAAGCATGCAAAAAAGCTGTTTTTAAGTTCTTGTTATATGATGCCAGTACATCCCAAAAAATGTATTAGCCTTTCTACCTTAATATTTCATAATTAAATACACTAATATGCAATTAAATCTTTAACAATTACTTACTGAGTTAATTACATTGAACCATCAGATTCTAGTGTTAAAATGAGAAGTAGCCCTCTAGACATTTGAGATTTGTAAATTCCATATAAAATTATTTATTTAGTTTGTTTATTTTTGAACATCAACTAAATTATTCTAGTCCTAATTTTTCAGATAAAATGTGCAGATTTTAAATGTTGGTATTTTTAATGTGGGGCATATAAAGATGAACATTAAAAATGGAAGCTAATTCAAAAACTCAGCAGGCTGTTCTTATTGTTTGGATAATTAAACATGATGTGTTCAGATCTCTTTATACATTCTAAAATCAGGAAGCTTTTTCACTTCAAATTCTTCCTGGATGGGAAGCGAAACGCCTTCAAACTTGAAAACCAAGTCAAGTGGATTGTTTTTAATTTTTTTGGAATGACTATGACCTGGATGACTGAGAACCTTCACCATCATATATTCTAAAAGCCTGACCAATCTGGATCTGTGGGTGCAGAATAATTGTTACCGACCATTTGCTCTGCAAATAGGCTAATATCTCAGCCTATTTGCACATCAGATTCGTTTTAAAAGAAAAGTTCTCTTGTGATCAAGGATCAGCACCTTCATAACTAAAGTCTTCAGCTATCCATTGGTTGTTTGATTTTACAGTCTTAAATGTCCATCTTGTATATTCGCTGTCTGTCAGGGGCTACAAAGCCAGAGTACCAGTAGTGAAACTGTGTATGCATGGGGTTAATAGAAAAAAAAAAAAAACGCCATGCACCTTGACCCTAAACTGAGTTTCAAGCCCAGAATGTTACAAATTGCATCCTTGAGGATATTTGTTGAAAATGTAAAACATAAATACAGATAGATTTTTGTTTTTATTTTGGACCACAACAAATATTTTCTTTATTTTTTATATCACATTTAAAGCATATAAAAACCAAATGTGTTGCTCAGAAAATCAAACATATGATGTATGTGTTCATCATTCTCTGCTTCACAGTGGAGCCATTAACACAGTCTGACAGTTTGAAACTTGGGATCCTTATTAGTGTTTAAATGTTCTCCCCTTTAGGTTTTTTTCCCCCTCTAAGTTCTTCTGACAGTTAAAAAAAAATCACAGCATTACTTATTTCCTTATTTTAGTGTCAGATCCTTTATTCAACCTTCATGGTGAATTATTGTCATTCATTTGTTTTAATTGTACTTGTAAAAAACATTTCTTCCTCCAGCTCCATGTGTGCATTAAGATGATAGAAATCAGACAACTATCTTCTGCTTTACTTCAGTTCTTAAATCTTATTGAGAACTAATGAGTAGTTTTATTTTTAATTTAGGTTTATTTCTATATGTTTAAATATGTTTAAGTTTTTTTTAAACATTGTAACATCTTTAAATCCCATCCAGGTATCCCTGGCATTAAATATTTGTCTGATGTATTTCCACAGTGGAGCAGCAGGAACGTTCCAGCAGCTTAGAGCTTCTTCCACCAGACAGTAAGTTATTCTGAGCTTAGTTGGACATCAAAATTGTTTTATTTGGTGTTTTAACAATACATTGTTTAAATATATGTTGAATTTCCACTAAACCTTCCATTCATTGATGAGAGCATACATATCTGAACTATGTTTTATTTAAAGGGATTCATCACTTAATTTATTTCAACCGTAGGAAAAAAAAATAGATAGATTTTCTCTGCATCCTACTTTAAATTGCAGCCTTATGAAGTTGGATGCTTCGAGTGTCATTGTGACCCCAGAAGCAGTGATGTCTTTCTAGTAGTTTTGCCCCTCAGGACTGCTCTTATTTATTAGCAAATCCTCTTAAGTTGACTTCAAGACCAGAAGACCATGATTTGTCAGGACCCAACCTTTGGTCTCTAGAGCCTCCTCCTCCTGCAGACAGGACTAGAGGATAGATTTGTAGATGAGTCTGGTCCCTGAACTTCTACAGATGAGATCCAGCTTGTATCACTCCACATTCCTGTAGAGCTTCCATCAGTAAATGAAGGCACCCTCTGATGCTAGCTAACCCTGCCCAATATGTAGATGTTGGAAAAGAAACAGTGTATTTTTCCATCAGGAAAGGTAATTGATCATTGAGATATCAGCTAGTTACAGCTTGGTGCAATTTTGCACCTGACTGCAATTAGCTCAATTAGCAATGTAGTTGGGTACTATAACTGTATCTGATCATATTCCTGCTAAAGAATAGGTAAGATCAGAGGGCATTAGGGTTGAAAAAAGCTGAAAGAAGAAGTCATGGTAGAGCCAGACCAAGTGGTGCAGGTGGAAATAGGAGCATTAAACGCATATCATGAGCTAAGTCTACTTTGTGTTAGAAGGTACAAAGCAGAACTTTGCTCATTTCTGCCAAGTAAAAGCAGTTCAGAAGTTACAGGCTTTTTTCAATCTTCAGGTGGAGTATTGGTAATGATGTTAAGTTAGTCTGCTTAACACACCATCAAACTTTTTGAAGCCAAGGTGTCACTGATTAGTATTTTGAGCTGCCCAATCACATTATCACTGTGAGCAAGGACAAACTATGTCACACATCATGTGATCATGACAAGTTTCAGGGGAAATTCGAATTCGTGTTTCTGCTTTTTGAGGTGCTAACAATGCAACCCCCTAGCCAGGGAAGTTAAGAGTTTTTATGTAAGTATAGTTGAGAATTGATTTATGATACTTTTTATATGTGATCTAACATAGAAATACACTGACAGTCACTCATGACAAGCATTCACTGATTCATTCACAGCATATATTTATTCACACAGCTCATCTGAATAGGTTACCCTGCAGATTAGAGGTTATGGAACAGACCAGAAAACAAATTAAATGATTGAAAGATTTACTGTGTTTTTTTGGAGGCAAAATTGCATGACTCAGGGTACAAATTTTTACCCCTATGTAACACATAATGGTCGTATGCTGGTCGGATTTGGGTCATGATCAACATTTTTGTTTCTCTGTGCTGTGGCTTCCTTTCATGTTGCTCTTGATTGCTTATTTTCCTGATTTCTGTCACACTGGTGACATCATCAATGCTAACCCAGCGTGATGGTGGCAGGGCAAACTTGCCAGTGCGGGAGGGGGTGTCTTAGACCCAGCTTTTTTGGCCAATGGGAAGGGAAATATCTGCTGTCACTGAATCAGTCAATGCCTCTCATATGTGAAGAAAGCCACACAGGGATGCATGAAATGCAGGGTGTGTTGGGGAAAGGCACTCACTTCATGTGTAAGGCATGTTAAAATCCCTCTGTGTGTGATAGTGGGGAGGAGCTGTCAAAAAGACCATCCCCTCTCCTCCTCAGACTGAAAATTAATCTTTACTGTCTGCGGTTCCAGTAATGTAAATAATCTATTATGGATGGGGTTTTTTATATATATAATTTTTGTTGCTCATGACACTTTTTTGTTTGATTTATACTCTTGAACCCTTAAGTGTTTTTTAATGTATCTGGTCAAATTAAAGATGTGATTGCATTACTATAAACACTTAGAAAAGATGGTGTATATGAAAAATATAAGTTTTAGACACTCTCGAGATACATTTTCTCTTGTTTAAAATTATTTTGTTAAACTTTTTTACATTACAGTGTTAGAGGTTGAGCTCAGTTTTTTCTGTCTTCACAAAATATGTGAAAAACAAACACGATTTTCATTTTTATGTTTGTTAATTGTAAATTTTTTTTATTCAGTTAAAACAGACTTATTTAACACAGATTATGAAAAAAATGGAAATTTAAGGGTTATAATGATGTCATACATATTGAAATACTCCAGAAAACGACTCTAAAGCATATAAAAATAGAACAATATTCCTTGGCAAATTTGTTTCATGGTAGATAATAAAGAATTACCAGTCTTTAATTTTGTGTACATTTCTTTTATTAAATCCTTTAAAATCCACACTTTAAACCACCATGTTCAAGTTTTCAGTTAGGAAATTAGAAAACGAATCATAATTAAATCTTTGTTCCGCTCTCTTGTCTTTGTGTTTTCCCCTCAGTGTCTGAGCTTCGACTGGTTCTACTGGGGAACAACTGGTGTCAGAGAAACCAGGTGGGAAACATCATACTGGGAGGGACTGTGTTCACAGAGGAACCAGCCTGCTGTGTGAAAGTCAGGGGACGCACCATGTGGAAACCAACAGTTCTCATAAACACCCCAGATCTGCTGCACCTGAACGTCTCTGAGGATAAAGTAGCAGAACATGTAGAACAGTGTGTGAGACTGTCTGATCCTGGACCTCATGTCTTCCTGCTGGTTCTGCAGCCTGAAGATTTCACTGAGCTTCAGAAAGAAAGACTAAAAATGGTCCTTGAAAACTGTGGAGATCGATCCTTTGAACACTCACTAGTGCTGATATCAACACCAAAAAAAGAGAATTATGCTGAAGCCTGGTTGGACCATCCACCTTTGAAACAAATGCTCAAATTGTACGGATACAGATATGTGCTGCAGAAGAACCTTGATCTTCAGGAGCTGTTTGTGCGCTGCGGACAGATTGTGAGGGAGAACGATGGAAATGGATGTCATCTGTGATTTATCTGACTGTGGTGCAGCTCATTCTGATCCAAAAGAACTGGCAGGACTACCGGCTAACTTCAATCCAGCTAAAAATGCAGGTGAGAAAAACAACTAATGCTAAAAGAACAAAAAAATGAATGAGTTTATGTAGAACTATAGACTGCTTTTCCCTGGATTTTGAAAAATAATTATACTATCATCACTGAGAGAGGAGGGACTTCAATATTATTGATGGAACTTCAGTTATTTTAGGTTTCTGAGTCCCTAGAAAAAGTTAATTAAAATTATACATTTTTCCACCCAACGGTCCAGTTCCTACAGATCATTCGTCTATAGAGTGAGTCCCATAGCGCCACCTCCAGCACAGCACTAGTTGGTGAAGCAGCTCTCAGTTTGTGCAGAATTTTAGGACATAGAAAACTTTAGCTGTGAAATGATTCACCAACTGGTACTGATTCAGATATGTAGTGGTGTCACAGTTAGTTCCTCTCGACGGTCCTGACCTAAACTGAACTAATCAGTAATAAAGGGATTAATTTCTCTTTGTTCATTAAATTGTGCTTTTGAATAAATATTTTAAGAACATAATAATAATCATTATGTTGCTGATAAAATGATGTATAGTAAATTGCTATATGAGAGCTCCCTCTGGTGGTTAGGCATTGTTTGTTTCTTTATGTTGTTTAATTGAATATAAAAAAAGACCAGAAAAAACATCCATTCCGACAGTTACTGGAGCATCTTATTGTATCACGTCCTCATTTAGAAAGCATTTGTGTTTTTTTCATTACCTGTAAACTAACTACATTATAACTAGTTGTGGTGTGTTTATAATACATCTTAAAGTGCCCCTTTTTATTGTGCCAAATCAATCACAATCACATCACTGCTAAAATGTACATTTAAAAAAAGTTCATTTTCAGTATTTTAAACACTCACTAGCACAATAAACCTAATCCAATGTATGTTAAACTACTTCTGCGCTTGGTTTAGCTACCACACAACAAAATCACACATGCGAGAGAAACTTCCGCTTCGAGAGGAGAAAAAACGCTCTCTGCGCGCGCCAGCTACTCCCACAAGCGCTCAAGATTGTACTGAAGATCTCATCACACATGATTTTCTATCCAGCAGCCACATTGGAGGTCAGCTGTGCTCTCAAAAGAGTCTCTGCCCTTGGACTGATTTTCTCCTCGTGCGACACATTTGACTCACAGTGGTGAGATCTCAGCGCAAAGCATTATGGGATTTGCTGTCACAATGCCCTACTGTCACTATAGGCATAGGCTGTCGCTACCAGAGAGTGGCGACTAATATCAAAGATGGCGCAGACACCACGCCGTGGGGCAAAGTTACATGCACAATGGGGAGCGAAGGGTAGTGATCATCTGTCTGAACGGTCAGTTAACGGTTAAGTTCACTATAACGTTACCACTCTATAAAGTGATTGAGGGATTTAGGGGTCAGGGCGGACGTTTGAACATGGCCATAGTGTTAACCCCACTAAGACTAAATGCTAAAATTGGAACGATTTAGATTTAGGGGGGAAAAAAAGGTTCATTTTTGCAACCCAGTTGCTGCAGGTATAGGTACAGATCTATATGTTTTTCAGTTAAATTGCCCATCCTTAATTAAAACATTTTATGTTTTTCACTGTCAAAATAATTGTTTAAATGTTCAAATTTTCTCAGAAATGTTTTAATTTAATGAAAATTAATTAATATTTAGTTAAACAATCTGTATAGAGACTATGGGCTGTTAAGACCTTCTGATTGAAATTAATTAGATCCATACCAGTGTGACTGGCTGACTGGAGAGGATTTAACCACCGTCATTTAAACCCAAAGGTTTCCAACTGATTTAAACTGAGATTAAACAACAAAAAGATATATCACAGTGATAAAAACTTGTTTTGAAAGGAAAACACTAACAACAAAAAATTAAGAGTATGTTCTTGTTTT